GCTTCCTCTGGTCGATACCAGAAGCCTTGAAAAACCAGATCTCTTCAAAGGAGATCCAGCAGCCTTCAACGACTGGATCTTCATCCTCCGGTCGTGTACCTCTCTGCTATGGATCAAAGGTATCAAGCCCTTTTGCAGTGTGCAGAAACTCTGGGCTGTGGAACAGAGCCTTGGATCCAACAGAGAAAGGACTTAGCACGCAACTATACTTCATACGTGTGATGCTTTGTCGCGACCACGAGTTGGACAAGTTGCACAATGCTGGGGAATCCGAAGGACTAGAAGCCCTTTGCCAACTCTATATGGAATATAACCCCATGCTGTCGTCGCGCTATGTGGGCCTGCTTTTGAAGGCGACTTCGTGTCCTGCGTGGAATCCTTCGAAAGGAAGGTGAGAGAGTACGAGATGCAAAGCGGCAAGGATGTGGACGATGACACCGTGATCGGCATCGTCATCCTTGGTGTGACGGACGCTGCTGTGAAGGAGCATCTGGTAATCTGGTACGGCATGCTAGCCGGCTGGACACGTGGACAAAGATGCGTGGAGAGATCCTGGAGAAAGCCAGGACGCAGCAGTACCTGAGGAGCACGCCGCAGGACATGGAGATCGGTGGCGTCCCGAAAGGCAAAGGAAAAGACAAAGGAAAAGACAAGGGGAAGGACAAAGGAAAAGGCAAAGGAAAAGACAAGGGAAAGGACAAAGGAAAAGGCCATCAAGGTGGTGGCGGCGCTGGCAAGGGTCAGCGACTTTGCTTCTAGTGGCAGAAGCCTGGGCATACAAAGGACGTGTGCCGAAAGAGGCTTGCCGACCTGAAGAGGGTAGAAGGAAGTGGAAAAGGTAGGACCGCAGCAGCCGTGGCTGAGAGTACCGAGCCAGAGGGTGAGTCGGTAGCAGCTTCGACCTTGTGTGTTGCGGTTCCTTTGTGTGTGGTTCCGGTTTGTGCGGGGACTAAGTAAAGGTTGCTGGTTGACACAGGTGCAGGTGGAGGTATAGCCCCCAAAGGTTGTGACCCCGAAGTCAAGGCAGCCGCAGGAGAGGCAATCAACATGAAGACCGTGACGGGAGAAGCCCAGACTTAGGACCCCGTAGGACCTCGCAACTTCAGCATGGCAGCACGCAGGTGAACTGTAGCTACAGAGAACGGGAGCCCGGAACAGCTTTGTCGACAGGGAGCTGGACCAGGAGCGAGCGGAGGTTTTCCGCCGAGTGGCTGGCATCATCCTTTACATGTCAGTGGACAGACCCTCGCTGCAGTTTGCAGCGAGTGAGCTGGCAGAAGGAATGAGCAAGCCGCTCGAGATCCATTGGCTTCGGCTCAAGAGAGTTGGGAGATACATTGTCTCCTAGCCGGTCGAGCGTTGGCACTTGGAGCTACAGACCACGCCCAGCATCCTTGAATCTTTCAGCGACTCCGACTGGGCAACCGACAAGAAGAGCAGGAAGTCCATGTCGTCGACCTACCAAAGGTTTGGGAAGCACCTGCTTGATTGCTGCTGTGGACGGCAGTCTTTGGTAGCAGCTGGTAGCACTGTCATCAGGAGAAGCAGAGTTCTACGCGATGGTGAAGACAGCAGCGGAAGGCAAGCTCACGCACGCCATCCTCGAGCACTTTGGGTGGAAGATCCGGCACGCAGTGCTGAGCGACAGCTCGGCAGCAAGGTCAATGGCGCAAAAGGTAGGATGTGGAAAGGTGAAGCATCTGGGCCTAAAGCAAATGTGGATACAGCAAACAGTTCGTGACAAGGAGCTTTCCATCGGAAAGGTGGATACATCCATGAACCTCGCCGACCTTGGCACAAAGGCTTTAGAAGCAAGCAGGCTAGAGTCCTTAGTGAAACAGCTGCCCTTGGAAAGGTGCATCGCGGCAGCTGTGCTAGCCGGCTGTGTGTCCATGGCACAGGCCATGCAAGAAGGAGGCCACGAGTCATCTCGCGATGACTCAGGGGATCTTAGTGTCCTGATGGTTTACCTTTTCGCCTTGGTTGCTTTGGTGGTTACGTTCTTCAAGGTAAGCACTTGGTGTTTGAAGGGCTGGGCTTGGCTGTTACGTGAGGGAGAGAGGGGCCCCGGCCCCAGCACAGGGATACCTCGCGAAGCCATGGCTCCCAGCTGCGTTTTCTTCGACTGCAGCCCTCAGTCCGGTGGAGCTGGGCAGAGAGGCAGCGGCAGGCACTGGCGGCGGGAACTCCAAGCTGAGACGCCGTGCCAGAAACGAGGAGAGAGTTTCAAGTGAGCGCGCTGTGGCGCACAGTGGTGAAAGCTCCGCCTCGGAGGCGGAAGGACTTCGTGGAAGCGGCTCTGGAATGAGCCACGGTGATGCAGGAAGACTTCGCGTGGTGTGAGACACACTGTCATTGCTGACAATGGCAGAGCTGCAGGCAGGAGCGAGGCTGGAGAAACTCCTGGTGACAGGGATCAAGAGCGACCTCGTGGATCGTCTGGCTCCATGCTTCATGAATCTAGGTATGGATCGTCCTCCGACAAAGCAGCTTCGGTATGTCGTGTACATCCATGCGCGACGAGCCCGATGCAAGATCAAGTACGAAAACATTAGGCACAAGCACATTGTGTCTGAGTGGATAGCCAGCTGGAAGGTTTGAGTGGATCTCGGCCAGAGCTGAAGGCTAACGACCCTCTAAGTGAGCTGGGCTAGCAAGTGCGTTGAATAGGCGTTGGCAGTTGTTCAGAAAGCTGGCTGTGGTAAATCAGCCTCTTTGCCTCCAACTGTGGAGGGGTGTCAACGGATAAAGCTTATTCGGTACGCATGCTGTGACTGTATGTTGCAGCCCCTTCCCAGATCACCGTGAGAGCCCGCACTTCAAAACGGATCGTGTGCGGTGATTTGGTTCATAAGGTTAAGTACGGCCCTTCTTGCCCGCGCCTGCTTTTGCAGTAAGACTCGGAGAGGCTGAGGCCGGCGCAAGCAGCGCAGCTCGGGGATAGAGCGGCAGAGTATGCACCTGGTGCAGAGCACCGCGCCACTGCAAAGAACCTTGAGATACGTAGCTTTGCATCAGAGAAACAAAGTTTTTTATGTGCGTCAGACTTCGCCATGTCTCCCCCAGAGCTGTGCCCGTGCAGATCAGCGACGATTGCCTGACGTTGGCAGCCTTGGCCCCACAGATGCAGACAGAACGTGGTTGGTTTTGAGCAGTAGCCCTGATAAGGTAAGCAAGCAGTCGGGCTCCAGAAGGCACGCCAGCGCGGCTCCGAGACACAACAGCGCCAGGAGAGTGATGGCAGCAGGACAGTCCGGCGACCTGCAGCGCCCCAAACCTGCGGGGCAAGCACGACACGACCCCGGCTCCGGGTCAATACGTCCGGTAGCCCGGCCGAGCCGGAGCCATGCCGAGCCCTTCCCCGGCCGAGCCGGAGTCGTACAGGCCGCCTCTTGCTTGTCTTTCCGGCTCCGAGGTGTGGAGGGATGACGTGCATCTGCGGAAGAAGCCGGCCAGGGGCTCCGGCTCCCTGCGGCTCCCGGTGTTCCGATGCTGTTTGCAGCGGTTCGCGCGTGAGGTATGGAGCATGATGTCGCCTGACAGGACGCTTACGGCCTCGTCTCTGTTTGCTTGCGCCTTGCGCTTGTTGGTTTGTTGACGTTTGGGAGGAGAAATCTGGATCTGATGCAGCGGCCTCAGTGACCTGTCTTCACAAACGCGGCCGTGTGTGCGACTACGAGGCTGGGAACCTGGACCCCAGCTTCCCGGTCGCTTCAGTCAGAGACTTACGGAAGTTCGGTCACTGAAACGAACGGCGGCTGCACGTTGCCAGAGGCCGCGTGCTCCGGATCCGGGAGAGTGCCCGCCTAAGCCGTGCTCCTCCACGGCATCTCTGCCTTTGCCGGTTGCACAGGTACGGTGCCGTGGATCGCTGTGGCCGCAACGGCATGCAGCGGCCTTGGGCCTAAAGCCCGCAGGCCAGGGGAGTGTGTCTGGTTGCGAGGTTTACGAGCCCGAAGTGGTCCCAAGCGAGATCCAGTGGGCATCGGCCTCGTCGGTCGTTGCATTGCGCAGAAGTTTCCTTTGTGCCCCGCGTCTCCGAGGCGACCTTGCTTGGCTCAGGACCCGCCGGAAGTCATCGAGATCGAGCAGGGGGGCCCAAGAGTGAAGGGCCGTCAAAGCCACCGGGATGCTTCGGGGCTCGGGGCCTGGCGTGTGGCGTGTGGAAGGAACAAGCTGCCATCTTCCTTCGGTGGCGAGAATCCCCTCCATGCGCTGCTGGCTTTTTTGCCAGTCTTAAGTCCTCCAGTCCTCCTTCCCCTCTGCTGGGTGCCAGGCTTGGCCTCCGAAGTGGTCCGTTTTTGGAAAGGCCTGGACCTCGGCGAGTCGGAGCGATGCGTCTCCGAGCGCTGCTCGCTGGAGGATCGCTCGCAGCTCCCGCCTGGAGCTAAAAAGCTTGGGACGGGTGGACGAGGAGCCTGGTTCTGTTGTGGGGCAGCGCTAGACACATTTAATCTAGCTGAGGCACGACATCAGGACCTGGACGCCAAAGCCCAACACAGATGTGCGTCCTGGCCCAGGCGGCTCTGGCGTGGAGGGAAGATGTTCCGGCATGGCTGGTGACGCTGGACATGCTGGACCTTGGTCTGGTTTTCCTCCACCCAATGCGTCCTTCAGGATCAAGCGGAACAGCGCCCATTTCAAGAACCAGTGTCCACTTCAATGTTAACTCTAAGACTACCTGCGCAGAGCTCGCAAGCTTGTATAGGTTCTCGCAGAGTTTCTCGGCGCCTCTGCCGCGGCCGCGTCTCCGCGCGATGGGCTGCGGGACTTCGGCGCCCATCGAGCCGGAGCCGCCGGAACAGGCGGCGCTCTCGGCCACGGCCTCCCGGAACGCAGACAAGAAGGCGTGCTTGCCGCGAGCGCCTCCCATCCAGTAGAGGGCCTAGCTTTCCGCTGTGGCAGGCGGCGCAGCTTGAGAACAAGGAGCCCTCTCTTTTGCAAGTTGATGTCAAGAGCGGAAGAGTGGCGGAGCGCTGGTGCAGGAATATCATGCTCGAATGAAGTTCCTCTCGGAAGTCCCGCTCATGAAGCGATTGCCCAAAGATGAGCACCCGATTGTGGCAGAAGCTTGTGAGGCCGGGATCTGCTCCTAGAGTGGCGCGCAGGGCGTCATTCCTCGAACGCAAGAGCTGGGATTGACGAGTCTTCGAGGTTTGCGTCTTCGAGCCTAGCCACAAGATCATCCAGCAGGCGCCTTCCATGCACACTAGGGCCGCTGCAACGCAGTCTTCCGTCAGGGTGACAACGGCGATGCCTTCTACGTGGTTCGGACAGGGGAAGCCAGTGTCCACGTGGAAAACGAGGAAGGCAAGAAGCAGGTGGCGACTCTCAAGGCCGCTCTGCTCCGAGTCACTCTCGCGCACTCTCCTCGCTCGCGCGGCTGTGGCAGGGCGGAGATTATTTTGGAGAGAATGCTCTGCTTAGGGATGAGCCGCGACTTGCTCCCTGGATGCAGAACGCCCCTTGAGTCTGAAAGTGGCAGCGTGGCACCATGCTGCTAGGCCACCATCATTGCGGAAAGCAAGCTCGTGGCTTTGAGAATTACCAGAGAGAAGTTCGAGGTGCTTGGCAGTGCATGTTTGGGTCCCTGAAGCTGGGTTGCGGCGACAAGCTTTGTTCAGGAGCTCGGCTTGAACAACAAGCTGATGTTTGCGAACCGAAAGGCTGTTGCTGGTGGACTGCAGATGCAAGCGATGCCCAGCTGCACTGCAGATGCACCGCAGCCCGTGGAATGTCGAAGTCAGCGATCCTCGTGACAAGGAAGGCCAAGCCTCCCACCGAAAAGACGGAGGAGGATGTCGTGCCTTGCAAGCAGCCGGTAGCAGCCAAGGTAGGAGAGGGTACTAAATGGCCCTGTGAAAGCTCTCAGTCGCAATCCGTTCGAGCAGAGGTCCTCATCACCCGTGCTTTACAAGAGAATGAGAACCTCGCCACGATGACAGCCTTAGATGATGCAAGGCTTTGTGGCAGCTTCCCTCCCTCGAGGAATTCGGCCCTTGCCCGCCCGCAGGCTCAAGTCCTTCATCGACGTGATGTGGAAAGAAGAGGTGAAGGCTTGGCTCACAGCGGTTTCTGACCTTAGAACCCTTGGAGTGTCAGCGTGGCCTCAGGAAGGCGAACAGATCATCACAGAGGGCGACCTGAAAGCCGATTTCTTTTACATCGTGCCGCTTGAAATGAATTCGTCCTTCGAACTTCGAAGCGGCAAAGCCACAAAGCTGAGCCGAGCCTCTCGCCTTTCCCGCCCAGGGCTTCCGGGGAGTTCGACGTGAAGATCGTGGAGCCTTGGCCGAAATCCGCTGTTGCAGTCGCCGGCAGTCGCTTGCCGTGGGGAGTTTGAGGCGAGTGAGGTTGGTGTCATCACTTTATGGCTTATGGGTATTGTGATGATTCTCGTTGTCCATGGGTCCGCGGCCTTCCTCCTCTTACTTCTATTGGAGCTGAAAAGCGCTGAAAAGTCGTGAGGAAACCGACGACGAGGGCAATCCGAAGGCTGTGATGGAGAGCACCGTGTCCAAGAGCGTGACTCACGTAACGGCAGGCGGGAGCCATGTGTCACCGTTTCCTTGGTATTGTGGAGCCTAGGCGTTGGGGCCGTTAGGGGGCTTGAGGGCTTGCTGTGGAGAGGTGGCAGCTTTGGAGAGCTGGCTTTGATGTACTTCGTCCCGCGGGCGGCCACGGTCGTGGCCACCACGGACTCTGAGGTTTGGGTCATCGTGGCTCGGAGTGAAAGTAGGCCCTCCTGCACTTCGATTTGGATGCTACCGGGTTCCTGGTTTCCCCTCTGCACTGACTGTCCTGATCGGGACTAGCGACGCCTAGTGTTGTGGGACCTGCCAACCGAAAGCGATTCCTCAGTGCGGTCGGCGATGCGAGGATCGGGCCAACTTCAAGAACATCTTGATGAAGGCGGGAACCGCTCTACACCGCTCTGCAGGGCGTGGGCGCGCTTGTTTTGTGAGTGTCAAGAGGCCTCCGACTCCAGGATCAAGGCCCGGGCCCGAGGTCGCGAGTCGTCACGAGTCGTCACGAAACCTTCGAGCCCCCCCTGCGGCCCCCCCCTTTTTTTCTTACTGTCTTTGCTTTTCTCCGAGGAGTACGTGAAGTATTTGGATCAGGTCTCGGTCTTGGACAGTTTGTTGGCTGAAGAGAAGAAGCAGGTCGCCAATGCACTCGTGGAGCTCCTTGGCCGGAGGCGACGCTAGGAGGAGGCCACGCAAATGCTCCATTTTCCGGCTCTCGGCGCGCGAGCGCTCGCTTCTAAGGATGCATTTCGAAAGAAGCGATGTTATCATTCAGCAAGGCGAGCCCGGTAACATGTCCCTCCCTCAGCTCAAAGAAAAAGAGAGTCGATTGCGCCTTCGAGTCGAAACACGCACCATGGCCACTTGTTTCCTCTTCAGGTTCTACATCATGTATGAAGGAGAGGCGGCCTGGCGGCAGAACCCACGTGCCCAAGGGGGCGGGGCGTGTAAGGGTGGGATGCGCGCCCACGGCATCCGAGGTCGAGATTGTCAAGGACCACATCTTGCAATTCTCTCCTTCGCCGAGCACGACATGATGTCGCATGGCGCTGTGCATGCTTCCAGCGACGACTGTGCGGCGACGCGCACGCATGTCATAATTGCCGTAATGCCTGCGCCGCAACAGCTTTGAGCAGAGCCGGCCAGATAGACACTGGGGTTGGCCGTAGGGCAGAAAGGCCACTCCCGGTGGTAAGCAGACCAGTCTAGGACGACATGTGCGCAGGACGGGGATGCAGTGGCAACGCTGGAAGCCAGGACAAAAAGCGGTCGTTCGGCTTCGGAAAAGCAGAGAACCCTAGTTGGTGGACTTAGACTTGCCTAACGACACATGTGATGCTTGGAAGCCTCAGGAACCGCGCAGTTCTTTGGAGAGAAGGCTCTCCTGGAGAACGAAAACCGCACTGCGACGGTGGAGCTCTCAAGACTCAAGACGTGCGACATCACCACAGATGCGGCACAGCACCGCCCGCGGCTGACCGTGAAGTGAGGTGGCCGTGAAGAGCTCTTCAGCCAAGTGCCTCGTCTTGGACCGCGAGTCCTTCGATCTCCTCCTGGGCCCTCTGAAGGCAAAAGAGCTCCCGCAGAAGAGAGCCCCAGCCCGGGCCCGGGCGGGGCGGGTTCCCTTCCCTTCCCTCCCTTCCTTTGCCAGGACATCATCGATGCCGTTCGCGAGGGTCGGGAGCGACCGCAGCACACCGCGGTTTCGAACCCGGCGGAGAACGGCCGCCCGGCTGTGATCGAGCTTTCGGGCCACTGGGCCACAGGGCCACAGGTTGCGCACGGTTTTTCTGTTGCTCAGGGTCCTTGGCACAGAATCGACAGCGGATTCGACGGAGCGAGCTGAAGCGCATCGGCTTGCTGGGCTGCGGCGGCTTCGGGGCCGTGGAGCTCTGGGAGCACACCAAAACAGGCCGACGGGTGAGGGCTGATCGGCTCCCCCCAAACCCCGCGGAAGCGGCGGGCAAAGCCAGCGACTAGCGATGGGTGCCGCTTCCAGCCCTCTTTTCAATGCTGTCTTTCTCCCTCCCACTCCTGCTTTGCGAGGCGACTCCTATGCTCTCAAGGCCATCAGCAAGGGCTACATTGTCAAGACTGGCATGCAAGAGAGCTGCTCGGATTGGAAGCTGTGATCTGCTGCAGAGAAGTTACCAGTTGCTGCATGCCCCAGGCATCATGAACGAGAAGAACATCCTCGCAACTGAGCTCTAAATGTGCCGCTTTGCGCATGGCTTTCCATTGACGGGTAGACAGATTGGCTGTCGTTTGGAGGCAATGACTAACTCCTCCTTCATTACTAAACTCTACGAGACCTTCAATGGGACGCAAACGCTTCTCGGCGAACGCGTCATGCAGAGGGCGCAACACAGCAGCAAGGCGGAGGCGTGCTGCGCATCCCAGGCTTTACTTCCTCCTGGAGCCATGTCTCGGTGGTGAGCTGTATGCCACCTACATCCGGCACCTCGAAGCACAAGAGAGGGGTCCCAGAGAGAGGGGAAGCCAAGTGTTCTGACCGACCTGCCCGCATCTTTAAGGAAGGGCCTCTATGGCTCCGACAAGCACTGCAAGCGTGGGCCTTTGTTTGGGGGCACAACATTTCTTCAAGTGCTAGTGATATCTCGATTAGCCACCCTCATGACTGCTATGACGATCGTTCTGCTGCTTATGCTGATTGGCATCGTGATGATACTCGATGACTGAGGTTTTACACGGGCTCGGTTGTTTTTGCCTTTGAACACATGCACCAACGCCGCATCATCTACAGAGAAGCTCAGCTGCCAGTTTCGGTTCAGGCTTCTTTGCTTTTGTCCCTCCTCCCGGAGCCCTCACAAAATGTTGGGTTGGCCAAGAGTTGCTACAGGTTTCAGGAGGCGAGTGTCCACCACAGTGGACGAAAAGTTTTGATGTTGGGTTGGTTAAAACTGGATGCAAGAGCGAGCTGTGCCACACCCTAGACTGACGATAGACACCAAAGCGAGAAGTTGAGTCCGCTAAGCGTGCACGAATCCTTGTCGTACTTCTTCTTGCTCTTGCTGTCAAAACAAGCAGCGATCTTGGTGTGTTTCAGCCAGCCAATCATGCAGGGCATGTGCTTCGTTTCGTTATGACCTAGTGATGCTTGAAGCTCCGGCCAAGGATTTGAAGCCCGAGAACCTTCTCCTCGCAGAGGACGGCTTCATGAAACTGACGGACATGGGCCTGGCCAAGTTCGCCATCACCTCGGCTCCGCTCGAGCCGTTCTGTCTGTGGAATGTGGAAGAGCGAGATCTGCAGGTCGTGGGTAAAACCTATACGACGTGCGGGACTCCTGACTACTTCGCTCCTGAGCTCATTGCATCCACGGGGCACACCAATGCTGCTGGCGGCTCAAGGGGCGGGACTCGGGACCCCCATCTCCACGCACAGACATGCGCAAGAGTGTGCTGCTGCGCTCAGGTGGATTGGTGGACCCTTGGCATCTTGATCTTCGAGCTCATGCCACTCGCAGCACAGGGGAGGCCTCGATGGGCTTTGTCTCAGCTCCGGAGTCTGCCACTGTGCCTCTGAGGTCAGGTCATCCGCCGTTTGAGTCGGCATATCCCATGCTCTTTGGAGCTACACAGGAAGATCTTCTTTGCTCTTCTTTTCCCTGTCCCTCTTTTGCGTGACTCATGCGACGGCCTCACACGCCGAGGCAGATCTATGCCAAAGTCACCAAAGGGATTGGCAAGGTCGCTTTTCCGATGCTCGCCTTGTGTCAAAGACCTTGCAGTCTTTACACGAAGCCTGGGCGGATTAAGGAGCGTGATGAAGGGACATTGCAAGAATCTTGTGGAGTCTCAGCTGCAGCAAGGTCTGGTGACAGTGGGAAGGGAATTGGGCCGTCGCCGCTTCCGCGCGCTCTTCAGGAGAATCTCCTGAAGAACGACCCCTCCGATCGACTGGCCATGCGAAAAGGTGGAGCGGACTCCTAAGCAGGCTTTAGGAGCGGGCCCGGCGGGCGACAGCGGTCCCAAACAGAAGTGGTGTGTTCCGTGTTCTTGGCCCTGGGCCCAGCGCCCAGGTGGCCAACGTGAAGTGTCACCCTTGGTTTAACGAAGACATGGACTCCTGGGATCGCTTGGAGAGCCGAGGCAGCACAGAACTGCAGCAGAACGGAAAGTTGCGAATAAGAGGAAGGCTGAAGGCTGAGTCTCGCGCATTCTCTCTGCACTCACTAAGGAGAATGGAGTGTCAGGTGCCGTACAAGCCGGCCGTCCGAAGCCGGAAGGACCTCTCGAACTTCGTGGCCAAGAAGGAAGACGCCCCGAAAACACTGGAGCTACTCGGCCGAGCCTTGAGCTTTGGAGGCCTTGAGGTCTCCTCCTCCCGTCTCTTGCCTCCCCTGCCCTCCGAAGGTACATCGATCCAGGCACCGGCTGGGACAAGGATTTCGCGACCTCATACTGAGGCCCTCGAGGCGGATACGGACGTGGAAAGAAGGGAGGGTGTCTGGGAAGAGCGTTTGTGCCCAGGATGGCCTGCGATTCATGAGATCCTCGTATTCTTTTGGTGCATGTTGTAGTAATTGTAGTATGCCGGAGCTGCAAGACTTCCTGCGAATCGTCGCTGCCCCTTCAGCTGTAGGGTATGATATGGCGGTCCGGTGAGATAGATGCAGAGGTTCTGCAGCAAATTCGCAAAGACCGCGCCTTCGCCGAAGGCAGAAGCCCGTGGTCTGGTTGGCTGCAACGCGACACGTTAGTGACCGTGCCAGGGAATGACTGGACAACCACAGCAGTGCCCCGCGGCCCAGCATAGAGGCCCAGCATTCCCAAGCACCGCCTCGCCTTTCCCTAGACGTGAGTAGCCCCAGTCCATGCTCCAGTCCTGGCCGGGAAAGACCAGAGCCGACCAAGTCGACATGCTGGAGCTTATGTGCTATTTCTGGAAAAAAAGAAGTCTTTTGCCCGGATGCAGAACCGGAGGAGAAGGGGAGAAGGCAGGTCGTGGCGGTTGCGCAGGCGCCTACAACCTCGATGGCCCTCCGGGGCAGGTCCGGAAGAGTCGCTGGAAGGCCGGGCCGGGTGGCGCTCTCGCCGCCGCGCTGCTGCGCTGCTGCGCTGCTGCGCTGCTGCGCTCGCGCGCTCGCGCGAGGCGACCACGCGCAGCGGCTGCACCTGGGGGCGGCGCCTGAAGAACTTGCATCCGGAGGTGGGGCGAGGCGGAGAGGCGGAGAGGCGGAGGGAGGCGGAGGGAGGAGCGCTGTCAGGAGCGCGCCTACATCACCCAGACTAGTGGAGCACGCATGAGCCGGGGCCTCCGACGGCACGGGGTCCGCCGACCCCGCGTCTGTGCCAGCGCAGGCTACGGTGAATGGATGCGCTATCGACCAGGTGGGTCGGGCGGCCGTCGGGCCTTGCCTGTTGCATCTGGTTTGCTGTGCCTCTCCGAGGTGAATGAGAGTGGCCACCGCCCGGCTCATGCCTTTTGCCCGCTCCTGCTTAAAGCAAGAAGCGGTGCCACTCGTCCGGGAGTGCTGTCACTGCTCGCCGGACCGTCTCACACCCGCCTGTGACGCTTCTCAGAAAGCAGGTCAGTAGCGTTCTCGGAGGGTGGGTCACGCACACTTGCGCTGAGGGCCCTTGCTTCCGCGACTCCTCTCGAATTTGGCTCCAGTCTCGTCAGCGCAGTCGCTCCCCAGCTTAACATCTTGTCACCCGGTCGCGTTTGCCATGTTGGACGCGTAGACTCATTCTCTGTCTTCCTCTCTCTCTCTCTCTCCCTCTCCGTCTCTCCCTCACAGACTTTACCAGTTACCACTCCTTTCTCCCTCTCCCTCTCTGTCTCTTCGTCGCTCTCCCTTCTCGCCAGGCCCCTGGTCCTCCCGGACCCATGCTGCCCGTGGAGCCGCGCTTGAAGCCTTTGTGCCGGCTGCTCAGAAAACAGCGACAGCTGCCAGCTGATAGCGTGCGATTCGACCCCATGCCAGGTGCGACCTTCATCCATTACATAGACAGCAAAGAAGGCAAAGACGCCTGCAAGGCGCGGCTTTTGTTTCGAGGCTTCAGATTCCAGGCTCGACTGATCAGATGGGCTGGGATCTCTACTCTCAGAGCGACGTGCTGCTGATGCTTCAATTGCCGAAAGGGCCGCAAGCTCATCCGCTGCCACAGCTTCAGTGGCTATGTCCCTGCCCAAGCGTCCGCTCTAAAGTTGTTCAGTCGACCATACTGCGGATGCCGTCAGGTTCCATATCACCTTGAGCAGGAGGAGGGAGACACTGCAGAGAACATTCCGCACCTTGTCGTAACAAGATGAAATAGCTTGCTGTGCCATTCCCATTTTCGAAATTGCTGGGTGCGAAGATGAAGCAGGCTCAAGTGGCCTCAAGCACTCTTTACCTGTTGTGGTAGCCTTCAAGTCTCGGGGTCCAAAGAACGGTGCCTTGTAATTGTTGTGCTTTGTCGTAAAGCAACACGACAGCCAAAACGAGGTCCAACTGCTCTGGCAGCGCCGCCCCGGATACAGACATCGGGGAAGAAGGCGGGGCCGGTGCAGCACGAAAGCGGTTTGCGACATTGCGACACACCGCCCGGTTGTCCCTCGTCTGTGCTCGTCGCAGCTCAGGCGACTCTGCAGCTAAGGCGCTCGCAGGGAGTAGTGCGACTGAGGGTCTCAGAGGGTCTGAGAGGGTCTGAGGGTCTCTTGGGCGGAGGCGTGGCCTGACACGGACGACGAGTGGGAAGGCGAACTGGGAGTACTGGTAGGGCACAGTCCTCTTTGGTTTCTTTGATGCTCGGAGGTTCGGAAACATCGTTGAAGTCGGTCCCAACAGTGGCACTGGTGGCATCCGCCTCGGAGTGGAGTCCGCAGATCGCAGATGCGAGCGAGCTTTCAGAACTGAGGATATGTATGTCCCCCAAGTCGAGGAGATGGTGCCTTGCCAGGAGATGGCACAAGTGTGGACCTGGGAGATGCCCAACTTGCCAGAAGAGAAGGCGCGCAAGCGCCGCAAGCGTCGCCCACCGTCCTCCCATCCTTCTTCGTCTCGGCGCAGGTCATTGAGGGCGTTTGCCGAGCAGTGACAGAGGCCGTTGAAACGCGGCGGCCGTGGCTCTTTCTCTCTTCGCTCTTTTTGCTCACACGTGAAGGCAGCTGCAGGAGCCCCCAGCGGGCGTCGTAACTGTTGCAGCCTGAGACCTCCACAGAAGCGGATCGCATGTGAGCTGCAGATGTGCGCGCATGCCGCAGTTCTGGGCCAGGTTTCAATTACATCGGTGAGCCGCCGGACATTAACAGCTACGTCTGGCATTTGTACAGGAGCCTGGCGACTACAGCGCAACTGCAGGGTATACAGCACTGGTAGGATCTCAAGGTGGAGCTGACATCTTCGATTTAACTGCAGGAGCTGCTGCTGTGACACGATGACCTTCGTCTTCCACTCAGCACAGGGCAGGGCGAATAGGTGCAGAGCTCCGCCGGTGCATCCGAGCGGTGGTGCTCTTTGAGGTCTGGGCCTTCGCTTACTTGTGCCGGATCTCCGAGAGCAACCGCGGCAAGGCGCTGCCGGAAGCGGCAGCCGAGTGCCAATCCCGCTGGGGTCCCCTCAGGTGGACGTGAGCACACAGACCATCCACCGGCTCCTCCTGGCCGCGGGGTCCCCGGTCCCCCGGGGCGGAAGACGACTCCACGTTACGAAGGGAGCCTTCCTGCAGCCGGCGGCCGGAGTGTCTGAGGCGGTGACTGTCGCAGCGAAGTCTAGCTGGCCTTATCTTCTGTGGTGCTGATAGTCTTGTGGCCTTTGAGCAAGTCCTTGGCACAGTGTGCTGCCTGCCAGGCAGCAGCAGCTTTATATGTACGATAACAGCTTCTATGCGCAAGCCGCGTCCCGACGTGCAAGTCTGGCATTCTTGATAGCATTTTCGTTTCCGTGAGGCCGGCAATGTAAGCACAGCGGATCTGAACAAGCTCGAGGAGCGGAGGGAGCGGTTTGGCACCATTTCCCTGAAGCCCGCTGCATGTTGGTGCGCTGCAAGGCACGGTTTTTGGAGTTGCTCAATTGGAATCTCGACGTTTGCCCCAAGACTTTCAAGAGGCGGAGACAGGGAGCCTTGGCGAAGAGCCAATTTGAGATTGAGTGTCCTCAGGATTTTTCGCCTCCTTTGCAGAGCTGCCGAGTGACGAGACACGGTCTTTTCGGAAGTTCAGATCCGCGCTGGGGAAGAAGCTTTTCACATGGCTGTCAAGTGCCTGTGCCTCCTTGGGCTGGTGAGCTTCAGACTTGAGCTCTCTACATGCTATCTTCAACTCGAGTCGTCATTCTCGCAAAAGACACACTTTTGGCAAGTGGCAGCATTTTGCAGTTTGCAGTAAAAAAAATGCAGCACATCCAGTGCGCTGGACGGTCTCAAACCCACGATTGTCCCGTCTCAGCGCACAGGTGGCAAGAGAGGCATCGGCAGAGCCGGCAGAGAGGGCAGAGCAGCTTCTTCGTTCTGCTGATAAAGGATTCAGATGCCATCACTTTTGTCGAGATGCCTCCCTTGCAGCTTCGCAGCCACTAGACTTTGAAGTCTTCTAGCACTTCGTAACTTCGTGCAGCAAAGACTTCAGTAGCCCAGTAAAGTTCTCACCCGCAGCTGCCCAGCAACAGGTGAACCTGTCCCTCGTGTTTGGTTCCTGTGCACTGATTGTTGACGGTTTTTCCTATCAGCCTTAATTCCGAAATCTTGTGCCGATCAAGCAGCGAACGATGCGCAGCTGCGGGTTTTTTTCGGAATTGACTAGGGTGGTCGACGGGGTCGGCTTACAACGCATTGCCTGTGACTGCCTTCGCATGCTCATGACTTTTGTTAGACATGCTCATCGTGAACGTGTGGTGTTTGCATTTTGCACCGAAGCTCTCTGGAGCTGTTGACCACAACTGCTCCAGCGGTTCGCCGGCATGTAAAGAGTTGAAGCATTTCATCTAGGCAGCTTGCTTGCAACTGAAAAACGAAGCCTCGAAGTGAAGTGAAGCGATGTGACGCGACCAGCGGCGACCGTTTGGACGAAAGAAGCCCCGTCGAAGATAAGAGCTCAGAGGATGACTCGGGGAGTAGCCCCTCAGGAGGCCTCCTGCGTTTGGAGATGCGCTTGTCAGAAGGCAAGCGAGCGCCTCCTGCATTTGGATTATGCAGTCAAAGTGCTGCGCAAGCGAGCTGCAAAGCTATGCAAAGCTAAGAGCAGCCGTGTGACAAGGCCTTTGATTCACTGTAGGGTGCTGCAGCAGGATTTCCTGCAGCACACGGGCCCTCCTCTCTCGTTGGCACAGTTAGCACCTGCCTCGAGAGTTGCAGCCCCACAAAGGATCGACAACTTGTTTCGTAGTTGCCGTCACACCTTTGAACACTTTCAACACAGCGATGCCAGCGTGCACCATCTGCTCAGCGGCAAAGCTCAACCTATTGATTGAATCTTTTGACTCGCAGTGGTCACCGCCAACGTGCGGCCCTTGAAGACCTGCAGTGATTGGTATTTTCGGCAGGTTTCCCCTAGTGGGCAAAGATTATGTCATGTGATCGTGTTGCTGCCTGAGTTGCCAGGTCTTTTGCTTTCTTGGCGATGGCGGTAGTAGACCACACCAAGGCGTTGGAGTGGCTCTCAGATCCCATCCGGCTCTGGCCGAGACTCCGGATGATGTCCAGATGTGGCATGCCCAATTTCAGCGATTCGGGCCCCCAGGCAATGCTTGGCTGTTTCCAGGAGTCGGCAAGGTGCCGCTCCCCATTCCGTTTCGGGCTCTCCCGATGTTCTACAGTCGACACTCCGTGCATTCGAGATAGCGAGTCTGAAGTACTGTTGGGTAGCGCGTGGGCCGCCTGCAACATGACTAGCTGCCTAGCTGGTGTCGCTTTGCTTGAGGATCGACGACTTGTGTTGGAGCCGGAACGATGTCAGAGAGTGGTGAGCACTGCGGTCGAGATATACGTATATATAAACATATGCTTTGGAGTTTCTACAGCGGTGAGACGCGCGTCGGAAAAGGGCCCCGGTGCAGCACTGCAAATGCAATGGCCTAAACGCAGACACGTGGACACAAAAAGAGAGCACACCCCGCATCATCGGGCCGCAGCGGCAGCGCCTGCGCTTTAATGTTTTCGGGTCTTGAGTCCACTGCCGACATGCCGGCAGAGAGGCGTGGGGGGCACCGGTTCCGGGCCCGGGCTCGGATCGCCTGGACCCGCGGGAAGCTGTGAGGCGGCGGCCGGATGCGATGGTGGAAGTCGACGGTAGAAGAAGGCAGAGTGCTTTAACCGGCGCAAGTTTTGTTTTCTGTGTTGTGCCGTTCTGCCCTTCCAGGTCCGTGAGGCGGCCCCGCCGGGCGGGGCGATTCCTCCTCCTGCTGGCTTTGCTTTACTTGCCCAGCACTTGGCCTTTGTTTTGCCAGCACAGTTGGCTAGCCGGGACGCCCAGCTCGCAACTGAGGGCCGTGATCGAAGCCCTGGGCCAGGCTCGGAGTGCAGCGGAGTGTAGGAGTCTCGGTGTGCGGTCCCAAAAAGCCACTGGCCGTGCAGGCGCAGCGGCGCTTCATCGGGCCCCTGGGCGAGCCGGCAGCTCGCCTCGGACAGCGACGCACGTGGGCTCGGATCGGAGTCGGAGCTGTCTCTGAGAGGCGAAGAAGCCGGAAGAAGCGGCTGCGGGGTCCGTGGCGGGGCAGGAACCAGATGAACCAGATGAGAAGTTGCCCGGCTGCAAGCGGCTGAGGGCTCGGCGGCGGGGCTGGGGACAGCGCGCAGCCTAGCCTCCGCCAGGCCTGACTGGAAGGACGCGGGCCAGCTCAGGAGATTTCGACTACAGGGGGGGAGCAAGCGTGATGTGCCATCTCCGCCGCATCTCGAGGCCGCATATCAGCGACAGCTAGATCGGATCAATGCCCGAAAAAGGACTTGGTCAGGGCCGTGGTGCCTTGGAGGTTTCATGTCTCACGTGTTTGCAGGAAGCAGTCGCCGGACTACAAGGAGTCCGCCTACGAAAGGAAAGTGCGCTTGCGCAAGGCACGCGTTTACGGCAAAGGAAGGGGGAGCGTTGCCTTTGCAAACGCAGATGGCGATGTGGAATGCGGCCCAGAGAAAGGGCGTGAATGAGGCGCCGGCTTGCTGCTGTGGAATGAGGGAGGCTCCGGGGCAGCTTGACAGAGGTGGGTGCGCGGGACTCCACCACCATCGACATCAAGGTGCCGTTAGGGAGGGGGGGGTGGGCGTGGAGATGCGAGTGTGAAGAGAGAAAAGGGGAAGAGAGGTGAAGCTGGTGAAGCCCTTCGGCATCGAGTTCGAAGAACGTGGCTGGCTCTGGCTCCGCTCTCCCTCGCTCCGTGCGCTTCGGGGCGCAGACGCGGGGGCATGCCTGCTGCCTGCTCCCCTTTCCTTTGAGGCGAGGAGGACCCCAACAGAGTTTGGGTCGGCCGAATACTGGAGGAAGGATCAGCCTTCAAGAACGGAGAGGCTGCCACAGCGTGTCCCGCTGCCGCCGTAGCCGAGCTTGTGGCAGGTGGAGACCGGAGACTTTCTCACCACAGTGAACGGTCAAGACGTCCGCTGCTTGATTCGCATCCTCAAGGTTTGCAGGTGTTGCAGATGTTCTGAGATTGCTGTGCGCTTCGTGTCAAGCCTGTGGGCACTCGGCCGATTTCCGCTGTCGCCCTTCATTTGCCAACAGCATTCCGAAGTTCAGAGACGTATCGCCAAAGGCCGCCCCAGGCTTCTTCGCGTGTAGAGAGCAGAGCAGAGCAGAGAGCAGAGTCAGCAAAGCCGCAGAGCCAGCCCCGGCCTTTCGGCACGGTTTCGCCACGGCGCAGCACGGCGCAGCACGGCACGGAACATGGCTCTCACAAGCTGGCAATGTAAGAGGCGGCGAGGCCACAAAGTCGCACACGAGGAGCTCCGCCGCGATCAGTGGATCCAACAGAGAAGACATCCACAAAAGCCCCTGAAGAAAGACAAACTCACAGAGACTCCAATGAACGGGCAGCATGGGCTGTCAAGTTCTTTGGTTGACGACCTCGGCCTTTGTGATTTGTCTCAAGCGGCAGGACGGGGCAAGAACAACAAGACCGAAGAGCCACAAAGAAGCACTTCCTGGAGAGGAGTGGGGAAGCATCGATAAAAAAAGGCGGGGCCCAAAGGAGAGGGATAGAGACACGTTCGGTCGAGTCGCTGCGGCGAGAGGAAGGAGCAGCCTTTCCAGCTTTCAACAGCGGTGAGACGAACAGGTACAAAAACAGACTGACATGGACAGTCCAATCGACAACGTTGTTCTCAGATCGTTTCTTTCACTCTCTTCCATCTCCTTTGTTTTTTTCTTTTCCATCAAATGTGTCCGCACACCGGCCGTGGTTGCGAGAGGGAGAGTCTTGCATCCACAAGAGTCGACAGTCACAGCGACAGTAAATAAGGCGTCTTGAGTTGGAAGTTCGCGATCCTGGTGCCAAGTAGATGTTGCCGCTGTTGTTGTTGTTGCCGCCACGGATCGGACGGCCGCGCAGCTTTGAGGGGCTTTCGAACAGGCTCTGGGCTCAAACCTTCCGTTGCTAGAGGTACCCATCAGGCTCCTTGTCGAACGGCAAAGGTTTGTCCCACGCGCTGAGCCATGTGCCTCCTCGTTTCTTGATCTCGTCTGATCTGCTACGCTCCAATTCCTGGACCCAGACGACGAAATGGCAGATGGCGCCGCTACCAGTGCACTCGCAAAACTAAGTTCAGATCAAGAGAAGATCTTTCAAGCATGCTTGCAAGAAAGCTGTTGTCAGTCAGCAGCCAGTGTCATGTAAAGGCCAGGTCCCCACCCCCCCGTTGCTAAAGCCCATGGGCACTTGCCCTCCACAGGCCACAACGGCACGAGCCCCTCTTCTAGATCTCGCGCAGGCCCCGATTCGCCGAATTCTCGGCTGCCGGCTGGTGCTGTGCCTCTTCCGCTTCGCCGGATAAACTCTCAGCCGGCCAAAAAGTCAAAAAGGGGTCAAAAAGGTTCGGCGCAACAGCCGGGGCACTGCCCAACCCTTTCGAACTCCGGAGGCACTGCCTACCACAGCCACAGCAGCGGCCCGTCAACTACTCGAGCGGATGGTGACATGGTGTCATGGTTCTCCTGTCTCCTGCTGTTCAGGCTCAGGGGATTAGTTGGAAAGGAACAAGCAGTTGGCAAAGTCCTTGAGGTCAGATTTGACTGGTATGGTGCCAGGACCACGGTGGTTGCGGTCTACCAACATGTCTGGTCGCCAGCCAAGACGGTTTAATCGGCAAGACCGGGCAACCGTGATTGAAGTGGCTTAGTAAGTGTATCAAGCAGGTACTACGTCGGGACACACTGCTAGCAACAGGCGATTTCAGGGTCTGCCAGCCTAGGCTAGCAGGACCTGCCGTTCTCGTCCCACAAAACTTGCGCCCTGACGAGCCTTTGCAATCACCGAGTGGTGGCCCTCAACACGTGGCAAGCTGCCCTGTGCAGGGTAGTCGCGCGCACATATTGGTTTCATTCTGACACGAGAAGCCTCGGCAGGGCGCACGGCTAAGCAGGCCAAGCCGCTCCAGGACTTCCTGCTTGGGAGCTGGAAAAAAGGCGGGCCACCTACCAATCCTGGCTAATTATAAGGTGCAACCAATTTGGCCCACGGGTCAAGCCCCTCAAGCATGACGCTGCCGCCATTCAGGCAGGTCTGCCTCGCCACAGGCTCAGCTCATGCAAGACTGGGTTCAGGAGCGCCATGCTCTGGACCAGCTATTGTGGGAAGCCACCATGCACTTCTTCCCCAAGCAGACGGTGGCACTGCCAGAAGGTAACGAAACAGTTGTTGCCAAACGCCTGAGGCGGACCAAACGCAGAGGCAACGCCCAAGCACGCACGGAAGACAGGCTGAGCTCCAACAAGCGCAGCACAAATAAGCTGTCAGGCCTTCTTGTCTGAAGTTGATCAGGCCATAGCCTCTGGTGACCAACAAGTTGCCTACCAAACGCTTAAACAACTAACCATCGATATTGGGGGAGCTAAGGGGCCAGGAATGATGATAATCCTTATTAATAAGGAGCTAAAGAGCCACGGGAACCCCCAAAACCACTGGTTAGACAACTCAAGCCTTTTTCAGGCGTCCCTTCATCCCCAGCTTTTCATCCCAAACTCGCCAAACACATTGCTTCGATCAAGCCTGGCAAGGCGGTGCCAAAAGGCTCAGCACTGGTTCACGACGGTTTGGGCAACACTTGTTACAGGGTTGATGGAAGTCCACCTATCCTCCCGGGGCACTGCCCTCTCTCTCACTTCACAGAGGAGCACGCACTGGCCGAGCCAGCAGACTGAGCCATGCGGCACTGCCGATGCCGGCATGACAGCAAGCATGACAGTAGGGGTCTCCGGCGCACAGGCGGAGATCAAAATCCTGCCGCACCTTCTGCAAGACCAGCGCGACATCTTCACTGAAGCTCAAAACATGACGGCGCCTACCGAGGCATCGCACGCATCGGGAAACGCTGCAAAGGTATGTGCCGGCGGAAAAACTGACAGGGGCCGGCACGCTATGGATGGCCTCCCTATCTGTGGGCCTGCGGCAAGGAGTTCAAGCAGTGGAAAGGCCCTAAACCTTATGAACTGCGCAGCCTCTCCATCGCTCCTGAACAGCAGGGGCTGGGACAGGCTCTGCAGAAACGTGCCCGTTTTCGCGCAAGCGTTCAGGGGGCTGCTCGTCAAGACTTCGCCAAGCTGGCTATACGGTCACTGAGGCTGCCGAGCTGGCCCAGCGCTGTGTGATTTGCGGGTTTTGGACACCAGATCACAGGTGAAGTCCCACATGCGTCAGGCCCATGTAAGAAACTGGCAGCAAGACGGACAGGCCGCTATGCGACTGTGTCAGGGCTACTCGGTCCAGATGATCAAAGGTCATCAATACCCAGTCTGCCAGAAGTTGGTCTGTCATTGTTCCAGGTGTGCACGGCACTGCATCTACACGGGGACCCTGTCCACCGACTGGGGCCGCAGGCTGCAGCCAGTTAAGGCCGTCAGCTCGGTTGCGTACCATGCTCAACCCCAGAAACACTTGTTATGTCAATTCTACCCTGCAGGCTCTATCAATGGTTGTGGAACTTCCGCTGAACTCAGGCCACTCCTACGCAGCTGCACCAACCAGGAACAGGAGTTTCGGCCACACAACCCTATAGGGCTGTTCTCGCTTCGCACGCTTGTCCCAAGATGGAAGTTAGCTGGGGGAATTCTTGACTTCCCTGCTCGCTGCCAACACCGGCAGCATGCAGCCGGTAGATTGGCAAGGCCGCACTGATGGTTACACATAGTGACATAGGCATCAGTCCCTTATTCCTGCCTGTTACTCCCGTCTGTCGCACGTTACAACACGTTTGCACTGCATGGAGAAATCCCGTTGTTCATAGAGCCATGTCTTGGGCCATAGATGTGCTGCCTGTCATCATAGCAAGGTGGGGACGGGGTGCAAAGCTAAAGACACCCTTGGATCTTCGGTGCATTGTGACCCTTCCCACAGGGCACGAAGGCCAAGACAGGCAACGGCATACATCTGCAGTTCAGTGGGGAGTTACCCACCTTGGAGATGATGCGACTCGGCCCAAGCAGGCGCAAGCCTCAGATCACAAGCAAGTGCTTGAAGGATGTTACATCCTCTTTGTGGTGAAGCAACAGTGAAGCTGACCTATCCGAGAGGGTAAGTTCTGGCCCGCGAAGAACTGCGCACCCCGCTCTTGCTAGCGTGCCAGGGCATGGGAAGGCCGGACCCCACAACAGGTGGGCATGGCCCGCCCCACGTCAAGGCCAAGCATGCTCAAGGCCCGGAGGAGCTTTCAGCGCCCTCGCACAGCATCCATCAGGACAGAGCTAAGCCAGTCTTCCGCGAAGAAGCAATGCTGTCTATACTTTGCAGAGCTTGGCCTGGGACAGTATTTCCCTTGCGCAGCTCGGTCGTGGCCTTGTTATGTGGAGATCTGGGAGTCTCGTGTGCGCGACGGCCCGAAGTGGTACGAAGCAGCCTAATGTGGATCGACCCCTGGAGCAATCGCGACAGGTAGGAGCCGTAGGACAGGCAGATTCTCAGGTAGATCACAAGGTCAGTTTCACGCCTTGTGAGTGCTTAGTACGGCAATCGCGCGCCACGTGTGGAGTCCGCTCGCGCAGCGTCCAATTGAAATTGATTGAAATTGAATTGTCGTTGTTGTTGTTGCTGCCGAAAAACGCTTTGTGGGTACCTCGTGTCCATCAGGTGTCTCGTGGAGCACCGATTCCTTGTGCATTGGGCGTTGGTAACCCATGCATGACATCGTCTGCCTTGCTCTGCTCATCGTGCATTTCCGGTCTCGGCATCTGCAGCCTTTGGACTTCGGGGGCTCGTGCACTGCGAATATTTGCAAATCATGCGGGCAACTTTACAACATACAATAATTGAGGGGTCATACGGCATCCGGGCTTTCATGGCAGGTGGAGGGCAAGCCCTACGATGAAGCCCTACAGTACCTCGTGGATGCCGAGGGTCGGGAGTTGGCCGGAAAGTCGCCTTTCGTAGAGAACGCTCTCCTTTCTGAGCTTTTTCCAGGTGAGATTGACTTGGTCTTCAAGCGCATCTACGTGGCCTGAGAAGCGCGCATTCGGCATTTTTTTGCCCCTGCCCAACGTATCGCTGAAACGATCGGTTGCGAGCTGAGCTTCGCGCCTTCTCCCGCCCAGCCCTTCCCCACAGGCTCCCGGCCAGGCTTTGGCCTGGCCCCCTCAGAAAGAGCAATTTTCCACTTCTTTCCTTGCCGCCCATCGACAGAAGAGGGAGGTCGCCCTGGCATTCGCCGGCACCTCTTTACCGAATATCGAACTCCGAGTGGCGGATTGGAGTGCACAGTTTCGGCCGTTTGATCTGCAGCATGGGCGCGGGGAGGAAAACACAGAGCGGACGATGAAGCGTTTTCCTGGAGTTATCACTGCACGTGATTGCCGCATGCGAAGATGGTTCAAAGCCATGGGACGTTGTCAAGCCGGAACTTGCCCTTGGCTCCGGGAGAATGCTTGGCAAACCGAAGGCACGTTGTTGCATGACGTTCTTGTCACTAGTAGATGCTTTAGGCAAGCGTGTTGAGAGGCTCGCTGCTTCTGCATCGTCCACCCGGAGTCTGAGCAGTGTCCAGACATCAGCTTCAGCCAGACCTCCGTCCAGATGAAGCTTCCCGGCGTAGGCCGGAGGTCACTGTCGTCACAAGCTCGGGGAACTTCCAGCCGGCGAGGCGAGGAGCCTCCACGCGGGCAACAGGCCCAAATCTCTGCACCTGTCTGCACCTGCTCTGTCTGCGCCGGCCAACGCGAGGAGGAGCTGCTGCGGGACTTCGCCTTCGACCGGGTCTTCGGCCCAGGCGGCCCGGGCCCGGGTCAGGCGCGGATCTTCCAGGAAGTCGCCCAGCCCGCCCTCCAGGCGCCACGGCCACGTCAACACTTTTTGCCTTTACCCTTTGAGTCGGTGAAGGAAAGAGGAGGGAAGAGCGGAACAGTTCGGAACCCCGAGAGGACGCGGTGGAGCGGCTGGAGAGCTGCTGCTTCGTGGCCTTGGGATGCAGTGGCCACGGGAAGACCTTCGCCGTGACCGGGGGACCCCGCCGCTTCGAGGATCGAGGCCTAGTGCCACGTGCTATCTCCTGCCTCTTCGAGCTCTTGAATGCCAAGACGAGCCGGGAAGACTTCCAAGTGAAGGTCTCCTTCTTCGCCCCAGGGCGGCATGAAACCCCGAAACTCCGTTTCCGTTTCTTGGCCGTGTTTTTTGATTCGTGCGAATGAGACATGTCAAGGAGCTGTACAGGGACAGCATCTTGGACCTCCTCAGCAAGCGGGATCCGGTGATCAGTCGGGTTGGGCAGAGCCAGAAACCAAGGATGCCGTGCCCGATGGAGCTGACGGCAACGCATACGCAGGTCAGCTGCGTCAGCTGCATCAGTGAGAGTGAGGCATACCAGCGGCTCTTCGAGGGCGACGCGCGCCGGCATTTCGAGAGGCTGCCGAGGAACTCTGAGACCTCCCGGGGCCACGTCTTCTTCCAGCTCCACATCAACAAGGAGGGCGCCGAGGGCGCGAGGGAGGCCGTCCTCTCCTTCGTGGACCTGGCGACGCACAGCCAGTGCCCTCGGAACCAGGCGACGGAAAGCATTGAAAGGAGTTTGCAGGAGCTGCGCCAGCTGGCGCGCTCCATCTGTGCCGGGCTTCCGACCGAGCCGGAACCGGGGCCACTTGGTTCCTTGCTACTCCCGTGGCTGCGGCCAGGCGGCTCATCCACTCCAGGCAATCCACTGCCGGGTCTGGTCACCCTGCTTCCGTTGAAGTGGCAGAAGCAGAGCAACAGCGAAATTTATGACTTCTTGCAGCTTGCCCGCATCCTGCACCAGGCCGCGAAGAGTCGCACTCCACAGCCACGAAACGGAGCGGGACCTCCGATACCACGAAGCCCGCGAAGTCAGGAGGAAGCTTCGAGGGAAGCGGCAGACACCGCGAACTCGCCGAGCGTCGATGCTTTGACCACTTGGTCGCCTTGGTCGGCCGTGGTGGTTCACAGCCAGAAGGATCGAGACGTGGAGGCGACGGGGGAGGACGAGGTGGGCCCCCGACCAGTTCCTGTGAAGTCCTTGCCGCCGAGCGCGAGCGGACCAAGACCGGTCACGAGCCTTGCCGGCCTGGCGGGCCTGGCGGGCCTGGGCCTGGCGAGCATTCCAACCCCTCTACGTAACGGCTCCCGTCGAAACGAGGCCGAAGCCACGGCGGCCGCCAGGGGATGCGTGGGCTGTCCTGCAGAGCTCTCGGCCTTGGCCGCAAGCACTGCAAGCACTCCAATCCGAAGGCCCTCCACAATTAGTTTTGCTCTGCCAAGAAGGGTGTCGATTGCTTCAGCCTCGCAAAGAACGATGCCCTTTAACATCGGCTGCGAGCCGGCAGCGCACGGCTCCATGTCCAGATCTCCAAGTCCCTGGCAGAGCCTCGGCGCTCCGCCGTTGCGGCCGTTGCGGCCACGGAGCTGCGACGCGGCTGCGCGAGCCCCGCCCGGTGCCGTGCCGGTGGCCCTGGCTCCTGGGCCTCCTTGGGGCTCTACAAGTGCCGGCCGAGCTCGGGTCGTCGAGAGAGCGTGGGCGTGCGGTGGCTGCGGTGGTGGCGCAGCACGCACAGCTTCGCCTTGTGCTTGCCCGGCGATCGGGAGCCGCCAGCTGCCTCCTGTCCAGGCCGCTATCCAAGGTGTCCCCGCGCCGTTGACGTACCCCTGCTACTCTGCCTCTGTGTCTGCGCCCGAGCCACGCCCAGCATGTTCGGATTGATTGCGTGGGAACTACAGGCTGTCGTATTCGCCGGTGCCAATGCAAAGATACCCGCTGCTTGCCTGCCTGAATGACATAAAAAACAAGCTTGCCTTCTGCAGTGCAAGTGGCGAGGTGGTCCTTGGGCGCTACGGGTGAGCGTAGTCGCAGCAGTTCTCCGTGCCCTCGTCCTGGCCACGGTCCTGCCTCAGTACCGCTTCACAGGAGCTGGGAGCTGTGCAGTACTAAAAGAAATAACCCTTCGGGGCAGAAGTCGCTCGCAGGACAGGGTCTGTGCCCAGAGTCCCGCCTTTGGTGGCAAGGTCTTGGATCCCGACAGGCCCGTCCACCCATCGGTGTTCAGCAAAACAGAATGCCGACATGTAAGGCTGACGAACCCGGAGCAGGCTTGACTGCAATTCGCTTTCGCGGACTGGCTGGCAAGAGCGGCATGTCAGTCTAATTGGGAGCTTTGCTTCCCGTTCAGTGCCTAACCGTCATGGTGCCGTGCCTGCTGACAAGACAAGACGCGCAGCACTGCATTGGCATCGGGGTTGTTCTTCCGGGTTACGTGAGCCCTCTGCAAGCGCGTCGCTTTCTGGAGCCAGATTCAGGCAGAGTCAGTCCAGAGATGTGCCAAGCAGATCCCAGAGCCAAGCATAGAGGGGCTTCACCACCGTAGCGACTCAGTAAATTGGCGTCCTGAGCACATGGCGTGCGCTGCCAACGCAGCATGGATGAAGTTGGGGTCTTCGAGCACTGCATCGGCGCTGGGCGCTTGGAGGCTTGCTTTGGCTTTTGGTCTTGGACTTCTTGGACTCCCTGACCTTCTGAGTGGCAGGGCTGGTTCTGCACTTCATCCTACGACAACGAGAAGAAAGGACAGGGGATGGGGATTGGGTTGGGGGCCGGCTGTTGCGTGAAATCTCGGCTGCAGGATGGGGGCATTTGGAGTCCGACAGCACCTTGACAGCCCAGGGGTCTCTGCAAGATTTCAAAGCTGCGAGAGCGAGACAGCGAGAGTGTGTGAGGTTTCGAGGGCCACCTCTTCTTCCACCTGCAGCGCAGCCCGTCGCTTCGAGGAGTCAGGTACTTCAGAAAAGTGCCTTTGCTTGAAAAAGCGCGGAGAGCAAAGCCGTGCGGCCGAGCGGCGGCCGAGCGGCCGAGCGTCAGGACGCTGTGGCCTTCGAGGTGGTGGAGTTCAACGGCCGCTGCGAGGCGGTGAAGCTCCTCTTGCCAAGCCGAAACGAGGAGCAAAACGAGGAGGCGCGCCGCGGTGGTGCCGGAGCCCGGTGCGGCATTGGGGGACCAGCCTGGGGGGCGCGGCAGTGCGGATGGCGCGCACTGAAGGCATGGAAGCCTGAGCCAAGAGAGGTCTTGGGCCAGACCGTCGAGGGGCCGGGCGGCTCAGACAAGACGGTGACCGGAGACCGGAGACCTCCGTGACAAGACTTCCCCGTTTCGCTCCCTCCATCTGCCTCCCTTTGTTCAGGTCTTGCTGGCACTCTCTCTCTCTCTCTCTCTCTCTCTTTTTTTCTCTGTCTCTCTCTTTCTCACACTCACTCGCTCACTCGCTCACGCACTCACGCACGCACTCACGCACTCGCTCACTCACTCACGCACTCACGCACCCACCCACCCACCCATCCACTCACTCACTCACTTACTCTTTCATTTTTGTTGAGTGTCAGCCTCACCCAATGAAACTGATGCATCATCGAATGCTCTGATGCCGAATGGCATTAGCCTAAGACTGGACAGATCGGCTTGACGTCACAAAGGAGTACCTGCTTGGAGCGGTGGAGACAGGGAAAGAGTGAAAGAGAATGGACGGAGTGAAAGGAATCGGTGGCGAGATCAAACTGTTCCGCTTCTGGTGTACCACGGAGAATTGGAGAAGTGGGAAGACTGGTCACGGCAGCTGAAGCGGTACGTCGGACTGCACGAGCCGATTGCGAAAATTATAACAGGTGCTTTCCAGGGATCCAACAGAGTGACCGATGACGACCTGTGCGAAGCTGTTGATGTTCAGCAGACTAGGAGTCCAAACAATTCACGGTCACTGTTCTCGAGCCAGCTCTTACATGCTGGCGCAAATAGAATGGATTCGAGATTTGGCATCGACTGCTTGCTTCCAGAGAATGAGAACTGACCACTTGGAGAGTGACTTGAGTGAGTTCATTAAATTGCAAAATCGACATGAGAAGACGACTGGAAGGCCACTGGACAAAGACTTCTTGACGACGCTGTAAATGCAGAAGAACGTTGGTCCATTGTCGCAATATTATTTGCGGTTGAATGGTCGTAGCATCAACACCGTTTAACGAAGCAGTGGAGATCGTGTATAGCTACATCACAAGCAGACACTTGACTGTGCCGAGTGGTAGGATTGACCGCCAAGGGCAAGCCGACATGGACATAGGACAACAAAGGATGGAAAGGACAAGGAATGAGGGGCAAGGGAATGAACAAAGGAAAAGGAAAAGGTTACAAAGGCAAAGTAATGTACAAGTGCAAAGGAAAAGGAAAGAGCAAAGGATACGAAGGTAAGGGACAATAAAAGGAATGAAAGGAAGAGGAAGAGGACAAGGATGTTTCCCGTGTGGTGATCCAAACCACTGACCACTGGAATAAGGAATGCCTGAAAGGAAAAGGCAAAATGTCAGCGGTGACTGACGACGAGAGAATCAGCAAAGAAACGGGAAATGATTGGATCGACGAAATCTGGATGACTGGGTGGACTGGTCTTGGAACACTCCGGATTGGTGGAGTCAGGAGCCGCCGCAGAGCTATGGTGCCGCGAGCTCAAATGCTAATGTCCCCCAAGACACCGCCAAGAATGAACCACCACCGCATGTTTCCGCAGTGACTGTCGAACCTTCGGACCGGAGCACGCCCCGCCCGAGTTGCGAAGACTGTCCGTAGCAGCCAGGACTGATGGCGAGCTGGTTCGTTGGAGCGTGCTTGCTGATTGGTGCACTGAGGTCTGGAGTGCTTCCGCTGCCGATTCCGAGCGTGCCGAATCTGAGGGCAGGCCCTGGATATTGTTCGACAGTGGTGGTGCGGAATGGTGCCTTAATATCCGGTGTTGGATTGTGCAGCTTGACTGTGGCAATGGGCGTTACTCGTTGAGTGTGCAATTCTATGTGTGCACTGTCGCTGGCATTCGTTTCCACTGGTCAGTGTTGCACGACAGTTGTTGCTGGATTTCTGGACTGTGATGGCGAAAGACTACCAGTGTGCCTGATGCCGACTGCTATTCCACATGCCGTGGCAAACGCTGTGAGATTGGCGGCGAGCTGTTGCCAGAGGTAATGAGCAAGACCTTGTTGCCTTGAAGTTGCATGGAGTTTCGGATGTGTATGATTGATCGATTGACCACCTCTGCCAGACTGGTGCCTTGATTGCGGCATCTCAGCGAAGGAACCTGATGATTCCCACTGGGACATCTGGGAAGTGAATGAGCCCGAGCTGAAGCTGATTCGCCATGTAAAAGTGTGGAGAAGAGAAAGGCTCGATCCGAGAAAAAGATTGGCAAACAAAATGCCAGTATATACAAGCATCAAAGTTGACTGGCGAAAGAGAGACCCTCGAAAAATACAGTCAGGGACGCACAAGCTCGAATTGAGGCATGTGCAGAGCAGAAGAGTGGGTCTCGTCCAAATGACCCATAAATTGGTAGAATGCCACCTGAACAGGCAAATCCTGATGTTGTGGAAATGGAGCCGCAGAAAGAAACGGTTGTCGCAGGCCGTGAAAGGATAGGCAAGTGAGAGTGAGTCGCAATGTTGAAGAGCATGAGCTTGAGATCGCTTCCACAACGTGGTGCGAAAATTCAGGAGTGGCTGTTGCAACTGTTCAATGTCGCGGAGCCTAAGACTGCTGTGCCAAGGCCACCAACGACTCCAGATCGTTGGCTGATCTTGCCTCGATATTGGATAAGACTGCGCCACGAATGGCGTGACTGTTATATTCATCCCGATGATGTAAGTTCTCCTGTTGATGGATGGTTGAGTGATTGTTTGTGGGGTGAGAGGAGCGCAATGTTCTGCGATTCCCGTGAACCAGAAATGATCGGTACTGGCCATCAACATGAATGGGCAGACATCGAGATGCCCGATGACGCAGTGAAGAAATGTCAGGACCCAAGGAGTCCCGCTGGTCACAAGATTGGATATACGTTGTCTGTGGCGAATGCCGAGCAAGGCATTGAGGAGCAAGAGTGCATTGAAGCCAAAATTGCTCAAGGTTGCTGGTGCACCTTCGCGGAGAGTGAGCGGCGATTGCACGAACTGACTCATTTGCCTCACGGGGATTGGTGTGAGCACTGAAGAAGAAGGATCCAGGGATCCAGATGGACTTTTTGGTTCGACGGAGAATGATCTTCCGAACAGGACGGTGTTGAATGCCACGGATGTTCAGACTGGGTATTCAATGGCGGTAGCGTTGCCGTCGAAGGGCAGCAGTGGCCGAGAAAGATTTTGAGATTGGAAGGACTGTCGGGATTGTCCAGTATGACATGGAAGCGCCGCTGAAGTAAGTCACTGGTGCGTGACCTGTGCAAGACGATCGGAGGATTGTCAATGCTCGCGGCGCCGACTGGACATTCCCAAAGCCAAGGCAGTGTTGGGAATCTGTAAGCAACTGCGAACACTGCGAACACTGCTGTCGCAAGTTGAAGAATCGACTGGCTTGAAGTTGATGGCGTCGCCAATTTTCTCAATGTGGGCTGCGAAGCATGCTCAATGGCTCATCAACTGCTACTTGATTGGCGGTGATGGAGTGCGGCAAATCGTGGGGATTTGCATCGACTGGCGACAGCTTTGTTCGCCCGACTGCGATTGTCGAGCCACAGCCTGCTGGGGAATGCGCCGCCGACTGTGCCGCGATCCTCCTACGCGCTTGCACTGGTGGAGAATGAGGCTTTTTGGGAAGCCCGCCGCCTGATGACTGAGACGATGGCAGTGGGCCCGCGAATCACAACTTTGCTGCCGCGATGACCAGAGCATTCTCAGGTTGGACTGGCGGAAGCCGTGTACCACCGATGAGGACACTGCCCCAAAGCTGTCCTGCCTGTTGCCAGGCGTGCTCCAGCTGGTGGAATGCGTGGTTGCAGATTCGAACACCCTGACCAGCGCAGCAATATGGCCCACTAAGTTCGAGAAGGATGAGGATGTCGTCAATGGGAGTGACCAGAATGCCTGGATGCTGGAAACGAGCTGGGTCACGCAATGACGAAAGCCCAGCGACGGTTCCTTACCAACGTACAAAACCGGCATGTGCAATGGAAGGTCTCGTGCGCTGTGCCAATGAGAATGCGATTGACATCTGACAGCCTGGTGAATGTCTACGATTGGTGTGCTTGCCGTTGGCAAAGGGATTGTACGAGAATGGCTGGTTGGACTTGAGCCGCCTCCCGTGCCACCAGCTGGATGGCTCCGCCCTGTGCAAGACTGTCCAATGGGCGAACCAAGAAGTGTTCGATTTGGACCAGACTGCCGAGTTGATTGCCTTCTGCATCTTCCGCAGAACGTGGATTGAGGCAACGGTACAGTGGATTGTGGGTAGGTCCGGAAATCAGCGGATGAAGTTGGCGACTGCTTTAATCGCCAATTTACGGATCATATCTCGACCCATGGATGGGATGGCGAAGGCAATGTCGAAGGGCGATGGTCCTTGACTGTGGCTTCGCTTGCTTCACTGGCTATTGCGCGAATGCCTTTGAATGACCCGATGTGCGTCCGCAACCCGAAGCCACTGCTCACACTAGTCACTAGACGAGATGTGTGACTGCACGATGAATGGCCGCAACTTGGTCGAGTGGCGACTGATGGACCATGGTGCCACTGGTGCAAGCCCACGGCGCCTCACTAACCCACGACTGCAGCACCTGCGAGGAGCGCTATGAGAACGATGATGATGGCGAAGCAGCAAATGCCTCGACCGGGCTGCCGCTGCAAACACAGCCTGCAGCCTAGCCACGCGACCGCCGTAGGCTTTCATGTAGGTATCCGAGCCCTCGGGTTTCCAGCGGCCTAGCATATCGCGGTCCGCCGGCGGTATCGGCTTCAAGGCTAACCCGGTGGGTAACATCGCTCGCTCTGTTCCAACCAATAGCGCGGGCCCGGACCGGAATGCCGACCATAGCCAAGAGCCCCGCCATAGCCACCATCTCCAGGTGGCCGTTCTCTTTCAGGCGGGGCATCAGGTAGTCAGGTCGTCCCTCTGATAGCCAGCATAGCCCTTTAGGAGAAGGAAGCCCTCGCACAGCCAGCTCTTATCCTCAAAATACGCTTTCTCCGACGCACAGACAGGGAGCTCCTTGATCCGCCGGTTAGCCCTTGTGGTCTTGGTTCGCCGGAGGATGGTTTATAGCCGCCCCTCGCTGAAGCTGGTCTCGCCGGGATCATCGCCTGGAGGTCCGGCCAGAGGAGGCTACCCAGATCTTAACGAGCTTCGCCCACGCCTTTTCCTCCAGCCCACCGATTCCAGCAAAGAGCTCGAATGATCGCCCTGCATCAGTGCATGCGATTGCTCAGGTCGCGAATGCCCTCAAGCCGGGTGCCCATTTTGTCCTGCGGGCAACAATGCCAAGGGCACCAAGAAGTGAGATCGCACTGAGCCGGCGATTGAATTAAGAAGTGCCAACGCGAACGCCGCATGTTTTGGCAAAGTGAAGTTTGCCTTGACATGTTGAATGGATGTTTTCTGCGGTTAGTGCAGCCTGAAGTTCTCGGATTCAGTGTGAATGGATCTGAACCCGACTGCCCGCGATTGCTTCGTACAATGCAATCTGCCTCCAATCTTGTAAGCAACGACTCGAATGCTCCAGACTGGACGGATCGGCTTGATGTCATGAAGGAAGTTTGCTTGAGTGAGTGTGTGTGTGTGTGTTCTTGAGGAAAGCGATTGATCTCGGTTGCTCTGGTAAGTGTGGATTGCTCCATTGAATATTGCACTCACTCACTCACTCACTCACTCACTCTCTCCCGCGCTCTTTTCTGATTTACTCGTGAAGCACTGTTGCGATGAGGCGCCTGAGCTGCAGCTGGCAGCTGGTCAAGGCGCAGATCCTTGGGTCAATTGTGCGCGGCAGAGACGCTGCCCCTCGTAAATCCATGCCAGCCCACGTGGGCAACAGTTGGTTTCCTTGCACTCAAATTTTGCAAGCTTCCGAGACAAAAATATTAAGGAACTGGGGTTTCGTGGTGTCGGAATACTTCAAGGGCACCGTCTTCTGGCACGTGGTCGACAATCCCGAGATGGTGGAGCGGATTCGACAAAAACTGCTTCCGTATCGGCAGCATTGCAGCGTATTGTAACACCTCATGACGCATCGTGTCAGATCGTGGCTTTTGGCAGGACTTGGAGTTCTCTCAGGATGATGTTGTGGAGTTTGAGCTTTACATCAACACCACGAGAGGCTCGATTGAGCTGTTGGTACAGGGCTTGATGGCCTTGATTGCCTTTGTAGGAGACCAGGTCAGAGCAAGGACAAGTCGCACCCTCGCACCGACTCGCAGCGCATGGGTTCGATAGCGTGTTGGAATAGCCGCGAGGAAGATGAAGTTCTTGCGCACGGCCGTCAAAGATCCAGCAGCAGAGAAGGCGCTTGCTTTTCGAATGCAATGGCAAGACGTCGCGCGTCACTGTTCCTTCTGTTGGGGGATTCCTCGTTGAGCTTCGACAGAGCTTCTTGGACGAGGCCCTTGCTAAAATTCTGTGACTCCTGGCAGGCAGAAGAGAGCAGATGCTTGGACAAGCAAAGACTGCGAAGACTGGACGCGACAAGTGTGGTTCACTAAGGCCAGAGGCGAATGGAAAAGAAGCAGCGCTGGCTGGTAAACTGGCGCAAAGGGCCTCCTCCCGACTGGATATGCAAAGGTTCGGGCACAGGCCATGCTGGTGGGGGTATCCTGTGCACTTGATGCTGCATGCAAAGGCTGCAGCTACCCCAACTTCGGCAGGAACAAGACCTGCAACTTGGTCGTCATCGATCCTCACAAAGCACACAGAATACGTCTAGTATTCGTAGTCTGAGGCAAAGTTTGTGGCCATCCGCGGCCTCCCCGTGAAGAATGGCCTCCAGAAGAGCAGGAAGAGCAGCAAGAGGATCGGTGAGCTAGCATCAGCAGCCACTATCAAATGAGAGACTGCGTGCTGCAGCCATCGCCACCGAAGAAACAGCTGCAAGAAGCTGAACAATTCCTTACCGAATGCACCCATGCAATGAACACACAGGTGTCGCCCGCGCTACCGACTTTCAGCCCAGTGGCCCCAGGGTGCCAGGCAGGGCGCAGAGCCGTTTGCAGCTCTGGTACGTTGGTATGGGCGATGGCATGTCGTGGCATATGTGTCGTGGCATCCGTGTGTCGCAAGGCCCATCGAGATGCGGGGAGCAGTCTGCCGAGTATTCGAATCCGTTCCATTGACGAAGTCCCGTGCTGTTCCCTTTGCCGGAGGCTTCCCACTGACGGGGCCTTGTCTGCACGGCCTGCAGGATCTGCAGGCTGCGAGGCTACCTCTGCAGCCTCAGCTCGCTTCCGCTCGGCTGCCTTGCGCTCAAGCACATGGCAAGTGGCAAGTGGCAGACGCAGGCAGAGTGAGCCAGCGAGCACCACGTCCGGCACGGCGCCGGAGGCCTTTTTGCCTTTTGCTCTCGGAGTTCTTCTGAAGCGTCGCTCCTTGATCCTTCAGGGGGCCGTCTCCGCTTCTTTGCCTCGAGCGGCAGAAGCCCCGCCCCCCGCGTGCTTCGCGGAGTTCAACCGGATCTTGGGGGGCGAGGCTTGGGCCGAGGGCGAGCTCTTGGCCAAGGCTCCTCGGCTCCCCCTCCTCAGCTCCGAGCTCTCTCAGCTGTTCTTTCAGGTGAAGGCTTACCTGGACGGAGCGGCCAAGAGCTTGGGAGACGGGAAAGCCAAGCAGGCGCAGCAGCAAAAGCTGCGTTCATGCGTTGCCTTGTGGTGGGCCGAAGAAGGAAAACGGCGAAAGCCGTTTGAGGATTCGAGGATGATGATTAGGAGTTGAGTGACACTTCATACGGACGAAGAGTGTTTCCAGTCAGGTCCAACGACGACATGCAGAAGAGGGGGTGACGAGGATGCTATATGGCCCATGTGGTTTGTATGCTGATGTTCATCTGCCCTATAGGCGAAGAGTCCATGTCGGACGGTCGGACGCAGCCTAACAAACGTGCTCTAAGGGGTGAAACAAGCAGAGCGACCCTCACCCTCACATGAGAAAGTGGATGCATGAACTCGCCGGGTGCGGATTGGGAATCCCTGTGCGCACGGACAACCGAAGCCGGCACGGGTTCCTCCCACACCCTTCGATGGACTTTGAAAGCATTGTGGGACCTTCTTCGAAGGTCCGGAAAGCATTGCCACGCAGCATAAGGTTCACAAGCTAGGTCAGCATCTGTCAGCACATCCGGTAGAAATAGAAACGTGCCAGCACCAAACGAGGCGAGTGACCTTCTCTCGCCTTCCTGGTCTCAACAGCCAGAGCCGTAATCCCAAGGTGACAGGAAAGCCACACGCCCTGTCTTTGAGCTCCTTTCTGACTCCCTTTGGGCCTGCATGAGACCTCGACGATGGCACAAGCCGAAGATGGGATGGGTTCCTAAAAATCTTCTCCCTCCATTCTTGGAGCTTTTGCCTGCAAGCGTCAAGACGGCCTATTTCACAGCGCCGGGTGAGAGGCTGGGGGTCAAGGCAGCCTTAAGACGCTCATCAAGCATGGCGGTGGCGATCTGACCAACCGTTGCCGCGGGCTTACAGCACTTGACAGCAGTACCATGCACCAGAAAAAGGAGGCTTTCTACACAGCCGAAGTCTGGGGAGTCCGGGCCCGGGAAAAAATGTGCCGAACGCGAGGCCCTTAAGGTGTTGCATGAAAACCTGACGAGCCCAATGAAAAGAGAGGGGCTGCAGAGAGGAAGGAACGCACATGGTCACTGTATTGCTTGCGTCACATGCCGTCATCACCCTGGTCTGGCTTGTTATGACTTCCACTTGCTGTGTGACTTACCGATGGTGTCAAATTGCACATGTGCTACCATTGCTGCATGCTGCCATGATTGCTTTCCGCATGGAACACTGTCTCGAATCATTCTCGTGATGCTGCAGCTAGCCCTAGTACATGTTGGTACCCCGTGATGATTAGTGTGCCACGGGTAGTTGGTTTGGCCCTTGCACATGTTTGCTGGTTCTTGGACGTTTAACTCCGTTCCTTGACGACGTGGTTTCGACCGGTCCCTGCCTGGCCCGCGCCCTGCCCCGGCGCCCGGGAGGCCTTTGCCGTGCAGCTCAGCAGGCGCGGGGCTCAGCAGCGGCTCAGAGCGGGCTCGGCCCCGGAGCGGCCCGCGGGCGGCGGTCCGCGGAGCGGTGTGCGGCGAAGCTCTTTGCGTCTGCGTACGTCGTGGCATCGTTGTTTTTTTTTGGCCTTCCGCGCGAGGCATCCCTGGTTTCAGACCCCAGGCTGCAGCTGAGAACAGAGCGGCTGCGAGCGGCCTTTCTTCGGCGCAGCCGAGGACGGGCTACGAGCTCCGCTTCCGACCCGGCGCCGGGAGCTTCGACGTCGCGCTGACGCCGGCTGCCCGAGTGCCTTGGCTCGTCGCCGGACGCTGGCTGCAGACTCGCCTCCTCACGTTTTCTTGCATGCCTCCGAGGCCTTGAAGCGCAAGGCCGCAGCGCTGGGGTAGCGGAAAATAGAAAAAAGGTTCGCCATGGCTGCCATGGAAAGCCGCAGTTGGTTTTTGCTTCTGCTGCTTTCCGCCCCGTCATTGCGCATTTCAGACCACTTGCTTTTCCTCAAGCACCGCCGCGCGGCCGCCAACACTTGGCCTTGTTGCAGTCTTTGCCTGCACCGGGTGTGGCTGGGGCCCCGGAAGGGCAAAACCCCTGTCAGGGCTGCAACTTGTCGCGACGCAGGCTGGAGCCATGCCGGACATGGTGGGGAAGAAAGTTGGTGGCAGGGCTGCTTCGATTTAAAAAAGCTGGGCTGGCGAGTCCGGCTGGAAGTTGCAATCGGATCTGAGGTGGTGATGGTTTCCTCACTGGATGAGGGCCACCCCGTTTTTGACTCAGCTCGTTTGAAAGGATCGTGGGCATTTGTAATGGTAGGTCACCTGCGCCGGTGCGTCTGCATGTGAACTGAAGCTCAGGGCGACAACATCATCGATGGGCGGGAAGATACCTACTGGATTTCAACAGGCCTCTATCCTCAGGCGCGGAGCGGAGCGCGGAGCGCGGAGCCGTGGCCCCCAGCTGGGTCTTGTTTGTTGTTGCTTGCGGCGCAGGAGATCCTCCTCGGCATGAGCGAGCGCTCGATGGTTTCGACCGTGAAGATCATCACGAGCAACGTTCGGTCACTCCGCCTGGGCCAGAGTTGGGTCGGAACTCCAGGGATGGGTCTTTCACCTTGCTAGGATGGACCTCCCTCTCCCTCCCTCTCCCTCTCCCTCCGGGTCGCTGAAGGAATAGAGAGCTGCGCGGAGGACGACGAGGGTCGTGTGAGCGCTCCGAGTGGTTTTTTGCGGCGCCCGCCCGCGGCCCGGCGGCCGGCGCCGAGCTTCGAAGGAGGACCCGGTGAACTTCAAGACCTTGGCCGAAGACGAGCTGGAAGAGTTGCGGCCGCCTCTGCGAGCGGAATTTTCCGCCTAAGAGACCGTCTAATCAGACCGACGGTCCCACAGGTCAGGCCGTCTGCAAGTCAAGGAGATCCCCTGTCAGGCCCGAAATCACCTTTGCAGGCTCTGCTGTAGCTGTGTAGCTGTGGCATTCTGCGATTGCATTGCCGAAAGGGCGTCGAGCCTGCCGCCTACATCAAGCTGCTGATTCTCTCAGGCGCGATGTTGCACACCATTTTGCAGCCATTTTTCCGATATACTGCAGATATGCTGCAGCTGCAGGCTATCACGACTTTTGTACAGTTCACCGCGTCATAGTCGAGTGAGGCTTGGTAGGTGCAATCCACGGCACCACCTTTCGCGGTTTAGGCTGCAGCCGACGCAGATACCGGATCTTGGCCTGCCTCGACCTTGCACGGCTATTCGGATCCTATGCATGGCAGCTAAATATTGCTGCGAATCTGTGCTCGTCCGTGAGAAAACAGGGCTGAACAAAACATGAGCAAATGCCTGACTGTGCACAACTGCTGCTCGTGGGAGGCAGTAGCTTTCGTGGCTGGAGCTGCGGCCGTCCAGAAAGGGATGCACGAGACGAGCAGAGACCCAGAGCATCCAAATGCTTGTGATTAGCCTTATCATGGAAGGAAAGTAGGCGCATCAAGCCTCCGCCATGTCCGACCCACATATTCCGGAAGCATCGAGCTCTCCGGAAGCGAAGGGTGCAGATGCTTCGGATGCGGTTGATGCGATGGAGAGCAGTGGCGGGAGTGAGTCTGACGAGGACTCCGCCTCACTTCGGGAAAGGTCCAGCTACGTGGTGGACAACGAATCTGGCGTGGCGCTGCTCCTTGAAACCCGACCTGTTAGAAGCGGCAGTGCTAACGGCACCATGGTCAGTGCCTGGAAGTGTGGGAAGCTGGTTTGGGAGCACCAGATTCGAGGAAGTGTAGAGCACACGACGGTGGCTGAGGGCTTCGTCGCATTTGCGACGCCCAAAGCCCTGCACTTGCTCAGCACAGTGGGCGGATATTCGCTATTCCCACCTATGGACCGAGACTTAGCTTTGCAGTGTCTAGGTCCTTGGCACTCCAAGGTTCTGTTGGGCATCAAGTTTCTTGATCTTCGCTTGTGCACGTTGGCTGACCTGACAACGGCCCGGTCTGCGGCCAGAACGTCCCAGCAGCAGATGTACTTAGCAAAGTGTCTGAGATGCTGCATTAGGGCAATCGATATCAAGCACTCGCTCATTTAGTCTAGCTTGACTCGCGGATGAGTTCACGACGTCTTGAAGTCGCAAGCCGACCATTGGCTCTTGCCTCGCCTGGTCACTTCATGGCGAGGACACCTTCGCACCTTCGCTCTCGAGGGGTTTCAATGGGCCCCAGTAGTAACTCCTTCCAGGTGATTCTTTCTGAGGCATCAAGCCCCATCAAAGCGATTCGTAGTGCACTTTCTTCCTTCTCTGTGATAGGTTGAGCGAGGCTGGTCTTTCGTGTGATAGCTCCTCATCGCTAAGGCATCGAGAAACAGAAGGCGCGATGTCAAGAGTCAAGAGACTAGACGCACATAGACGCACATAGACGCACAGGCCAACATACAACCGAAGAGCCTAGTCGCGTCGCTGTAAGGATGGTGTCAGAACAGCCTGCTATGAGAGGAGAGCACTTCTCTTCCTGATGTACACCGAATTGAGCCGAACATTGGGCAAGTAAGTGGAGGTGGAGAGCGTTAGGGAGCGCGCGGCTTTCAAGGTGCTCGACAGCCCCGTCTTGCAGCTGGACATCCGAAGTGGAGGCAGCGGGTTCCGAAGCCGAAGCCGCCGAAGCCGCCGAAGTGGAGACCGAGGCTTCCTGATGGTCCTGGGCTGCGACAGCCAGCTGCGCATCCTGGACCTGCGAAGCCCGGGTGGGCTGACGGGGCTTCTCTTCCTGCAGACGGAGCTCCGCCAGCTCTGCGAGCCGATGGCCCCCCGCTCTAGAGGAAAGCAACAGCTCAGCTTTTTCTGCCCTCTTCCGTCTGGGATCTGAGGATCTGAAGTCTGAGTCCCTTCAGCTCAGTCCGGCGGGAGATCTAAGCCTTCGTTTGTCGGACGGCCGAGTCCTCTGCTTCGACAGGCGCCCGGGCGCCCGGGCCTCCCCCGAACCCGCCCTGCCGCCCTGCCGCCCTGCCCTCTTTGCAGAGTGGAGATGCTGGAGGACGCAGCAGAGAATGTCTTGTTTGCAGGAGCTGCCAGCACTGGACAATCCAGCAGGAGGTCTGCGACAGCCCCAAGGAAAAAATTGTAGGGCCTCTGCATTCAAGCGATGTCTGAAATTCTGGATGCGAGCTTCCTGTTGCTGTCGCAGACATTAAGCATGCCGCCGCCCGCCGCTGCTGTTTTTTGGCTTGTTGGCGTTGGGCTTGAACACCGGAAGTCCTTCTTGGCTTGCCTTGAAGCCGGTGCCCTGTGCCCTGCGACATCACAGCGTCTCTGAAAGATGCCGTGTGCACGAAGGTGTGTGGGCTATGTATGGCGTGCCAGCCTGAGTGGAGGGTCCCGACAGTTCCGAGAGTTGCAAGAGTCGAGAGCTGGGACTTGCTGAGGACCCGCTCCAAGAGGCCTCCGTGTGCTGAATCCGAGTGTGCGTGCGTGCGTGCGTGCGCGCGCGTTGCCTCCGGTGCTGAGGGCCTGCACGGCAACGCTCTTCGAAGAGGCGCACGCGGCCCCGGCGATCGGCGGCCTGGTGTCCCGTCGAAGAAACGAGCCACGGAGCTCCGATTCCGACTCCCAGCTGAAAGCGCAGCTGCGCCTGCGCCCGGAGGTCTTGGCACAGGCCTTGCACGAGTTCACGCTGCCGCCGGAAGTCGTGCCTTGGCCGCAGCTGCGCATCACAGCACAGCCGGGAGCCCGGAGGCGGCTCGGCGAAATTGCTCCTTTCCTCCTCTCTGAAAGGTGCTCTTTGAGCCGTCGGCCAGCGACATCCACCGTGGCGGCACCCCAGCGCCGGAGGGAAAGCCGGGCATCTTGGCAGAAATCCGAAGCCCTGTGAGCCGGTGGGTTCCAATACCTGGCTAAGTGAAGTGCCGTTGCAAGCGGTCTGGGCAGGTCCCATGCCCCAAGGCTCGTTCCAACATACGTTTGCAGTGGTTTGGCGTGCGGGTGGGGTTGTATGTACGTGCTGAGGTACGTACGTACCAGGTTCCCACAGCCACCTACTTACGTACCATAAGATATCATAAGTACGTTCCTGCCTCGGCTTTTTGGGAAGAGAGGGGGACGTATGCTTACATACCTGCCTCCCTATATCGAGAAGCCCCCTTTGTGCCTTCGGTGTCTTCAGGGCTTGCTTGGGCGAAAATATGTGACCAATGCCATGGCTCGACTGCCGAACAACTCATATCTGCACTTGCCACGTCGGGCGAACGTCCGGAGGGACGTCGCTGACGTGCGTTGTCTGTGTGGCATATTCTGGCTGACGCATGGTGCTGGCAAGCGCGGTCTGAAAGTGTGGGAGGATCAATTCGCGAATTCGTCAATCCTGGAATTCAACATGGGAGATTACATTTGCATACAGCCAGATTGCATTGCTTCGTGAGGGACGTGTGCGACTGGTGAATTCATACTTGGAATTCATGTGTGCCACTGGACACTGTGGACGAACAGCGCGGACAATCTGGACCGGAATTCACGAATGCCTCTGCATGGGCAAGGCTGCATGCGTGAACAAGCTGAAACTCAAGTTTGGAATTCATACATTCATACTTTCTGGCGAGGATAGCAGCACCCTTGTTCGGCTGCATGGCGCAATGTGGCGCAATGTGGATGATGGTGCAATGTGGACCCCTGCATGCTCCAGTGGATTTGGCGCTGTGACGACAGAAGTGTCTGCATGGAATGCGATTGCATGCGACTGCATGTTGTTATCAATGGTGAATGGTGCCTGTCGGGAGGCAACGCTGCGGAGAATGCATGTAAGGGCCGCAATGGCGTGGCAAACCCAATGTGTGAGGGGGATTCAAGGAACTGGAAAACAGTGGAGACGGACAGGGGCTAAATCAACAACGTGTGAATCCGCGAACAGTTGAGTCAAGTTGCATGTCGATAATGCGGAGTGTGTGCAACATATACTTCGCTGTCTGAGCTGCCTTTTGTCAGGATTGCATTGCAAAGTCAACACGATAGACTGCCGTCCGAAAGTGATGAGCAGACTGACATATGTATAGTTTCTGTGTGTGATACCATGAGTGTACCCTGCATCGTAGGTTCGTCCTAGCCAGGCGGGAGGCAAAAAAATATCGAGAAGTGGCAGACGTGTCCGACGAGGACAGCTCGGACAACTCCGAGGACTAATGAAGTGCTCATCCCAGGTATAGAGATGCATGCGCGGGGTGCAAGATCCTGTACTCCACACTCTTCCCAAAAGCCTTCAAGCCTCAAAGCAACCAAAGCCCGCCTCCCCCCCAAAAAAACCGTCGAACCCTTGAGCAACATAAATTAGGTGCCACGCCGGACTGCCACACAATTCATTCCATGCTGCTAAATACTCCACGTCGTCAGCAAGTACATCTATCATCATCTCGCCGGCGATCGACTCACGAATTAGTAAAGTACAATTCGCAATCGGAATTCAGACGTCGAATGCCCCCCAAAAAACAAATGTCTCCACTTTCTCTTTTCTCCTCTTCAGCCCTTCTTTCTTTGTCCGCACTCTATGCTCCTGTCTTCAGTAGATGTCGACGCTGCCAGCCATGGAATGACGCTTTCTGCGACAGCCAAAGCTGCTGACACCAGACGACTTTAGCTGCCACTTGCGACCACCGTGCTGGCATCGGTGTCGGCAAAAGACAGAGGATAACAATGACACTGCAGTCTGGCCAAAGACAGTTTTCTGGAATCTGGAAGTCGCGATGTGCTGGTCCAAGAGTTCTCTATACTGCGATGGCCGAAACCAGTGACATTGGATGGCTCCAGCTGTCAATTGTGTTACAAATTGCAGATTATTATACTGACATTGACGCCAGCTTGCCAGATGACGAAACAATGAAATTTGGTCTGGCTAGCACGGTTTTCTCCAAAGTGCAGAAGGCACGTCACGTCGGCCCGAAAGTTTCTGGATACACAGCCGAACTAGGGCCCTTATGTTCTCGGTGCCGCTGGAGCATGCAGTGCACTGAGAAGAATAGTCAGAATAGTCTATCTGAGTCTGAAAGACACGTCCTGCTGGCCCTAAAGGCTCCCAAACCCCTCCACACAGTTGTGGGGGCACTCTGGCAGCGATGACATCCGGCATGCTTCTGGGTTTCTGGTGCACACAGCAGCTTGGAAAGGCATCCAAAGATCTGTGAGCAATGTTGCAATGTTGGCTGTGGTTGACGCGCCGGCCCCACCAGGTGTGGGCCTGAAGAACCGGAGCCGACTGCATGACTGCCCATGCGGGGACATAACAGGCCAACCTCTGCAGCTGAACCACTGCAGTCGAGAACTAAAGCGCTTAGGCTTTTTGTCAACTATTAGTATGCATACCTTGCAAGTCGAAACTTGATAGTCCTTTCATCGTGATACTTGTATCGGGGCTTGTCTTTTGGCATCTGTCAGTTCCTCCATGTTTGAGCGTGCTAGTTGTGATGCACTCGTGCATGTGTAGACACTCGACAAAAATAAGTAGAGAAGCGTTGGCTGTGCTGTAGGACCGGTCAAGTGTTCTCGTGAAGTGCAGCGACGGGCAGTCCTCCGCTCCTCATTCCAAGGTTGAATCAGTGCCCTAGGAGAGGAATGCAAACTCTATTCAAAATCTTTTCAAACGCAGACGCTGCTAGTTCAGCATGGCAAGCACCGGGAGGTTCGCCGCACAGCCTGTTTTGAAATGATTTCATGCTTGGCCGGGTGAACACAGAAGTTATGCAACAACTCCAGAATGCCGTCCACGCAGCCAGCCTGCAAGCACTCGCGGGGCGTAGCATTTATAGGAACCTCGCCGCCCTGCCTTAACCCTGCAACTCGATTCCGCCCCGCCCCTCCAACATGCGCGACCCTACCCTGCACCCACGATTGACCCGACCGTGCACTCTATCCACCCTTTGTCCGTGCGCGACAGCTGTTGCGCCGCTCGAACATGCGTTCAGGCCGCGCGGTACATTCTTGGTTGCTAGTGCTGGATACTGGGTTGGTGTGCGAAGCAGAGCCTGTGGCGCACGAAATCGGGGTTTTGGTGCGTGAAAATGCTGTTCACCATCGTGTGCATACATCACACGCAACACCAACGATTTGTGTGATTATGCCACCATGTCGGCGTCGCAGGTACGTACACTGCGACAATACAGTGTGCCAGGAATGTATAATATGCAAACTACCCTAAAGTAGCGTGCAGAACTCACGCGTGAAGCCAAAGTAATAAACACAGAAAGTTCCCAGCAGTGTCTTTCTTTGTGCAGCACACAGACAACATGTGGTTTTCGCCCATGAATGCGTCAAAAAGACACCAAAGTATGAATATCAAAAAAGAAGCTCAGGAAAGTTGGCTTCAGGATGGGTTCGTTGAGTACGGTCGTGTTTTGCGACGCTGCGGAGGAAGCTTGCGACGTGCTTCTCCTACCTGCAGCACGAAAAGTCGCTTGGGAAGAAGCAGAAGTCTCGTAGACATCGTGGTGCAAGTTGCCCTGCAATCGTAGTGTCCGAAAAAATTGTCGTGTGTCGACCACGAAATTAAAATGCAGCGACAAATATTGACCCAGCCACTGCGTGACGAAAAGCTTTCTTCCAAAGTTGCTGCCGAAACCGACGTGCAGGCTTCTCCAAATTGTATTCTTCGGCAGGGCATCGAAGGCCACATCGCCTTCATGACCGAGGTGCTTCAGCTTTTGCTGAAGCTCTCAACAAAGCGAAAGACGCAAACCTGAGGTCCACACGGCCAGGTTGTAAAGTACGTGTTCGAAAGTACGGAGCGATCGGGTGGGCCAGCGCATGCCAGCGTCAGTTGCAAAGGAACCTGCGCAACTGGTGTTTTCCTAAGACAGTCCTACATCTTCGGTTCCACAGCTGCAAAGTACCACGAGCAACTCCCTCTAAAGCCTGATGTGACAGAGTGTTCCTCAACTGTCAAAGGAACAGTAGTTCCATGCACTTGTGCAGTCGACAGCTGAAAAGTTGCGCAAAAATAGGGCACTGGGAGGGGAAAGGCTGAGTTTGATGCACTTTTCCATGCCACTTGATTCTCGTGCAACATAAAGTTGCCACCATGTGCGCCAAACGTCATTTGCGCACAACGATCGACAGTAGATCGAGGAGCCGTCGCATGCAAGCAGAAAGGACTCCAAAGTGTCGGGTGTGGCTTAGCCGTGTAAACGTGGTACGACTCACCACGAAAAGTTCAACCGGCTGGAGGGCTGGTGCCAGGATAAACTTATTGGATGGGGAATCTAAAGTCCTTCGTCAAAGGGCCCAAGGTTGCTCTTGTTCTGCTGACTCCACCATAAGATAGGTCCTTGCCCAACAGGTGGCAGTTGAAAAGTTCGGCACGAACTCCCCAGGTGCGATTAGCAGGCATGGCAAAGTCTTTGGCGCCATCTTCTCAAAGTCGGGAGACCCGACGAACAGGCAAAAGTTCTTCCAGGCTCACAAAAGTAGAGTAGTCCACCTGCGGTTCCATCCGGAAGGCAAAGTCGCGGTCAGATGGGTAAAGTCGAACGCATGTGGAAGCGAGAGGCGCCAAGTTCAAACACAACCCACGACAAAACCAAGCAACCGCTAACGGCAAAGTCAAGTGAACTTTCATTGTTGCGGCATATGAAAATTTTTCACCACGTCGCCATCATCATCTTGACGGCCACGGAAAAGTGTTATTCACTCTCGAAACGGAGAAAGGCAAAAGTGACAAACGCAATCGGATCGAGGAAGCGGAAAGCTTGGAGACGAAAGAACGCCGAAGACGTGTCGAACTTCGGCCTCACGCAAGGCAAAGCCTCAGAAGACCACTATAGGCCTGAGAAGACGGCGCTTCCTCAAGTACCAGAACCTGTTTGTCCAAGCGACATGTGGCAGCTCAGAGTTCTCGGCTTCGCTCATGGACACCCAGTCCGAAAGATCATCCACAGCGTCAACAAAGTCTCCTTCACCAAACGGCTGTTCAATTTCTTCAAGTGCAGGTGGCTCGGCTCTTGGCTCTTGGCCAAACTTCGAATAAGGAACCTCAGAGGTCGCCTCCTCGGGCCGCTTGGCGTGTCCGTCTCAGGCTTCAAGCGCAATCCGTGATGGACTGCAAAGGTGCCGAGTCAGTTTGCCACGCCCGGGCACAAAAGCTACACGACCCTTCTATGGGTGAGGCTTGCGGAAAAAGCTCGGTTTCACCACGCGCCGCTCGAAAGCCGTAGTGCTTTTGCGAGCTGCTGGGCGTGACGAACAAGCCAAGAAAAGCGCGCAGAGTGAACCGAAGGATCAACGTATGCACAAAGCCGTGATTTGTCCCTACAAAGTATGTCCATACGAAGTAGCTTACGTAGCTTGCGTGTTACCAGCAGTTCAGTGCGCTTCCCTCCACCCGACAGGGGTTGTGCGAACACGTGCCCCACAATTCGGAATGTCCAGCCGCAAGTCGTGCATGTAGGGCCGTCCTGTTGACGGGTCCTTGTCGAAAAGTTGCTCGAGTAAAGCCTTTCGATAGTCGTCCCGAGAATCTGAGCGAGTCTGGTCCAAGAGCGCAGACGAAGAGTGTCCTCGGTGCCTTGCTCCTTGAGGCTTTTCTGAGGCTGCTTGAAAAAATGGTTGTGGGGCCTCTGCTGAATGTGTCTGTTGTGGTTGCTGTGCTGGTGATTGTTCTGCCTGTGTAGGTTGAGGTAAACATGTCTGCTTCCCTACGAGCTTACGATTAGTGGGTTTGGAGGAAAGCTTTAGGCAAGTCTTACCAGCAAAGCGTGCTGGAGTGGGGCCCTTAGGGTTCCCAGTTTTACGGTTGTAGTCTGTCAAAGCTTGTTTTCTGTCATCACCGTACTCAAGGAAAGAAACGCGCCTATCAGCAAGGTTGTTTTGTAAGATCAACAGGGCGATCCTTAGTCCTTCGGGAGAAAAAACGGTTGCTGTGTATCCGGGTCAAAGTGTTGCCTGAGAGCCCTTATCTGTCAGTATGCGTAAACTGGGGTGCCACAGTTTGGGGCCGCTAAGGTACACGTACTTCGTGCCCTCGTGTAGTGAAGGTACTTCGTGCCCTCGTGTTGTGAAAGGTGTTGCGCAAGAATAAGTTCAAATTCTTCCCTGCTGAACGGTGTCAGGTGGACCAAAGGAGCAAAAGGGAACCACGCCTCGTCATGGGAACCTTGTGACCAATAGGCGTCGAAAGTATGTTGTGGATTTTGACGAAAGAAGCATGTCAAACCCTGAGCCGAAGCCACACACAGTGGGGAACGTTGAAATGTAGAAGTGAAGAGGCAAGGCTGGCCTTCAAAGTCGACCTTTGCACCGTCCGCCCAAAGGCGAGGCACTACCAGGTCCGTTCTTGGCGTGCTCCGCTACCAGTGTCAGGAAACAGGAGCAACACACCTTTTACGACAGGCGGTCGCTATGACTCCATGCGGGGTCCTAGTGGCTTTCGGCCTGGAGGCAGCAGGAGGCTGCACTGTACACACAGTTCACTAGCCAAACTTCCCCGTTTGACACCTTTAACGGTGTACGGACGAAGAGTTGCCAGCACTTTCTGAGGCCTCGCCTTTCGGCAGAGGTGCCGCGCTGTGCACCTGGCCTTCCTCTTCCTGCGCTCGACCCGAAGCGTCTCTGATGCCTGCGCCGGCCTCCTCGGCCTGGCTGCTTCAGGGTTCGGAGGAGGAGGAGGACTCCTAGTCCCGCCCCCTTTCCATCTTCCCAAACGGCGCCCACAGTGGTTCGGCGCCTGCGAGGAGAAGGACCAGTGCCTGCCCCAGAACCCACCGCAGTGAAGGGGTGCCAGAGAAGAAGGAGGTTGACAAGAAAGACCGGACAAGAAGGAGAAGAAGGAGCCTGCGTAAGGCAAAGCCTGCGGCAGAGCCCGAGTTCCAGTGCCGGCGAAGAAGCGGAACAGATCGAGACAGAAACAGCGCGAATGGTAGAAAGAGGCGACAAGGACGTCGTCAAGGAAAGGCTCCGAAGCGGCGAAACACGAGCCACTGCTTTCGCCGACTTGCCAGCTCACCCCCGCCGCCACAAAGATCCGGCCGGGCGACTCCGACGACCATGAGGACGAAGGCGACGATGAGGGCGAAGGCTACTATGCACGTGGATGCCATCATAGATGATGAGGCCAAAGTGCGGCAGCTTGAAGAGTTCCAAGTCGGGGTGGCACCCGGGCCAAGTCCAGGCGTGTTTTGGCGTGGCAGTGCCCATAAAAGTGCGGCTCTGGGCGAGGAGAGTGCCAGCATGGATGCCAGATAGCGACGCTCCCCTCGCCACCATCTAGGAGAGAGGTGTTGAGGGCATTCTCAACCGCTTGGAAGGCGCCGCCTTCTAACGCTTTGGTGTACCGCAAACACCGTCATCTCAGATGCTGGGAAGCTATATCAGACGGCACGGTGGAGAATCCATGCGTGCGTATGTCCGCAGGTTCGACCAGACGCAACTCGGACACCTGGGAGTCAACATACAAGGTATGTGCTCCGTTGAAGCCTTCGGGCCTAGGGGACCGGTTGCTCTGGTTGACGAGGGAAAAGGCGGAAAGGGTGCTACCGATCCGCGACTCCTTGCCCCTGTAGTACCCTGATACCCAAGGAGTGGGCCCGGCCGATGAAGGCGCCGACGTGGACAGGTGCTGACGGTCACGGCGCAGAAGCGGAAGTTCTTCACGCAAGGCCACCCTTGGAGCCCCGACGGACGGATGGGAAGGGCACTGGTGCCCCGACCTCCGCTCTTTCGCAGCCGAAGGGCAAGGGCCAACATGGCAAAGGACAGCGGGGGCAAAGGCAAAGAAGGTGACAAGGCAAAGGTCGCAACGGGCGCTTCCCGTGCACGTGGCCGAGCACGACGAAGCTTGTCCGGAAGACGACGCCAACAACGAGGACGCCTACGACGACCAAGCTTACGGCGAGCAAGACGCCGAAGGCTACGGCGACAAGGGACGCGAGTCCTTCTTCACCTTCTTCGTTGGCGCGAAGCGCCTCCAGACGAGCCGTGGATCCCGCCTCGCCGCTTCAGGTGTCTCAGACAGGTGCTCGTGCTTTTCGGCACCGTGATCATCGACTTCTGGACCTACCTCGTCGACAATTCCACTTAGGTGGAAAAACTGCCCCCCGGGACACACCACCGCCTGGGCAAAGCCGAGCGGTGCAATGCCGTGTATCGTGAGATGCTCAACCGTGTCCTGGATAGCATGGCGGCCGCGACGCGAGAGGACTTGGAGATGGCCGTGGACGCCGCTACGCACGCCATAAACTCCATGCCCGCGCGCACGCGGACTGTCAGCGTATGCTATCGTGTTGTGTTTTGCACGGTGCTAGTCAAGACACGATGTTCGCTCTCAGGTTCGCTTTCAGTCAGGTGAGAGAACAGCTGAAGCCGCTCAAGGTTCGAGTGCTGGTGAGTTTTGAGATCCCACCACACCCGCCCGTGAGTCGCGCTGTTCGTACAGGACTTAGCGCGCGAACACGCATGTTCGTAGACACGAAACCGCCCCTAGACTCGAGTGAGTGGGTGAAAGTCCGCTGCGGAGAGTCCGAGCGAATGCCTGCGCTCAACCCCAACGAAGGGGTGCTTGTCCGCACGCATCCCCCGCGTACCGGCGGGGCTCCTGACCGACGAATTGTCGTTGGCGGCCGACATTTCGTTGGAAGAGAACGACCGCCACACGATCGTCTACAGAGCAGAAGCTCTGAAGGCAGCGGCGCAGGTCAACGTTGACGGAATCTCCATCAACATCGTCAACTACGGTGATTGCTCACGAGCGAACACCGAGGAGTACCAGCGTCAGGAAGGCTTCCTCGTGTGTTTTACGACACCGGACGCCCTGACAGGCAAGGCCCCCACCGTTCTGCTTGACTGCAAAAGCACACGCACCCCGCACGTAGTGCGAATCGACAGAGGCGTTCTGGCAAACCGGATGTTCTTTCAAAAATCGTGGTTGTTGCGCCAATGCCGTGAGTAACCTCAAGACAGTGAGTCGCTGCCACTGATTGCAAGGGGCTGATTGATGCAGCCATCGCTAACTTCAACACTGAGGAGAAGCGCGTTGGTCTGACTATCAGGGCTGTTCAGGAAACCATTGCCCCTCAAGACATGCGCTGGGTACCTGGACACTGTGCTCTTCTTCTCGCAGCATTCCTTCAAGGTTCACGCTCATGAGCAAAGTGCTCGGGCTGATGTTCGCCTCAGCCTTAGGTTTGGCTTTTTGGAGCCGAAAGTCCTGATTGTCCATGATTGTCCTTCCGCGGTCGCGGCTGACACTGGCAACATGGTCGCCCCGCGCTTGACGACGAAGCCTCTTCCTGAGGCTTCTGCTGCAAAGTCTCGGCCTTCGCCGAAAGCGGCTCCAGAGGGTCATTGACTTGAAGTAAAGTCCGAAGACCGACCCCACAGATCCCAGGACTGTACATCACAAATTTGATCCCAACTGCTGTCATCATAAAAGTCGCTGATGGCCCAATCGGTTCACTCGGAGCAATCGTCGGAATCTCCAAATTAGGTCGAATCTCCTGCGTCTTCAGACAATCAAACTTGGTCCTCACGTTCCATGGCCGAAGGACGGTAGCTCGTTGTCGTATTTTTCCAGACTGACTCCCAGCTGATGCAGCATCCGAGCCGGGGTTCAACAATTTAATGCGATTCACATGCACGCATATCCATCTAAGCATCTAGCCATCAAACAATCCGAACATCTGCCCATCCACCCATCCACCCATTCACCCACCCGTCCGTCCGTCCTTCCGTCCGTTGCATTGCTACGCCATTCCACTGCATTACCTTCCGTCCAGACATTCCACCCAATCAGTGCATGCATACCGGGAACAGTTGGTGAGTGCGGAAGACAGTTGACGCAGCTGCAAGCTGCCTCCGCCCTCAGGTAATCGCTTGATATTCCTGAATGTGCCGTTGTTGGACTTCGAGCAGAAGGCGCTTCAAAGCCTCCACGATGCACTGAAAGACGAGAAGGCAGGCAGGGAGCGGAGCAAGTCGACTGCCGTGCAGCTTTGGAGAAGAAGTGCCGAACGATTTCTACAACGCTCACCATGCGGCTCTGGTTGGTCTTGTTTTCTCAACTTTGCACCTTCTGCTACTGCTTGCGCTTCGGCGCCTAATGTTGACGGGGCGGGCTCCAAGTCAGGGAGGTTAGGGTGAGAGCTGCGACACCGTTGCTGCTTTGTTCGCTTGCAATCACCGCCGCCACGATGACGAAGACCACTGCTTGTGAGGATGATGGTAAAGAAAGCAGAATGGATCATAGAGCCCGCTTTTCTGTATGATGCATAGGAAGCGTCGGAAGGCTTTGGCTCCGCTGGGCGACGGAGTGATCCCGTCCTACGTGCGTTTGCATGCCCTCCGGATCCTGCAGCAGCTCTTCTTTTTCATGTGCAAATGTGCGGCGGGTCTTCAGACGTCGATTGCCTACTAGAATGTTCTTCTTGCCCGCCTTCGCAGCTAAGGCAGTCGAAACTGCGAGTGGACAAGGCTCCTCGACAGCGGTGCTCCTTGGAGTTCAAGGCTTCATGTCTTGCGGTGCAGTGCGGTGCAGGCGCTTAGCACGATCGCAACGCACTTGGAGATGAGAGTGCAAAAGATGCCAGTGCACGAGGAGCTGGGCCTTAGCCTCTCACGTTTCGGAAGGAAACTTCCGGGCTTGAGAAGAAAGCGGAACCTATCCGTTGCTGGTGTTTTTTCTTCCTCGGCTCGTTGTTCTCCAGCTGTTGCCTACTGGCGTACCCTGGCCCAGAGTTTCCTGTGTATGAACTGATGCACCATACTCATGGCACCTATTTGAAGGAGTCTGTGCTCAACGATTTGAAGAGCGGGATGATGTACTGGCATGGGAGAGATCGATCTTGTCGCCCTGTCCTTGCCAACGGCTCAGTCAAGGCTGGATGGTTTTCATGTTGCTGCGCAATGCAAATTTGCTGCAGATTTGGCGAATGGAGAAGATCACGAAATTTGATGCAGATCGGGCCACAAGGATTCCGTATTTTTTTCCGAAGCCGCACCGCGACAGCGCTGCGAACGTCATCCAACGTTGTGCTGAACGCTTCTCATCCCTTCATCAGGATGATTCTTTTTATTCTCGAATTCGCGGTGCGATACCTGATGGTCCCGGGGCGAGTCGAGAACTGGGTGCTTATCGTAGAACTCCTGGCGTGTTCTTCGAGCCGCGGATCTTAAGCTCAAGCCTGGCCTAAATGCATGGAGTGCCAGGATTTGGCGGGCTGCGGCCTGTCAATGGCAGCTGCATCTTCTTTCCGCACAATCTGCAGGTGCAGCAGACTCGTCTTTCAGCAACATCTGGCTATTCTGTTCCATGTCTGGTGAGGGTAGAATGCAAGAGCAGACTCAACCCGCTTTTCAGGTCAAGGTTTCCGGGAGTAAGTGTTGTCAGCAGTGTCTATGCTATCATTCCTTGAGTGCAGGAACGTCACCCGCTTGTTGGAAGAGGTGTACTGCTACGTGGCTGCATGGTGAAGCTCGCTGCTTGCTGTGCTTCGTGCTGTCGACCGTTGGCGCTGCTCCGTAGGTGGTCGCAACTTCACGACAAAGATCTTCCACATGCCTTCAATTGTCCGGGCGATCGTGAATTCGCTGATACCTGAAGACAAGAAATCGAAGGTGGAGTTTGTGGCGGACGCTGACATCGCCCCCCGTCAGCTAAGAGTCGCTCTAAGCGCCCCCATCGCCCTTTCCGCCTCCTCCGCGCCTCCGCTTAGGCGAAGAGCATGAGGCAGCTCTGCGAGGCCAATCAGCTGGAAGAGCAGTACGGAGGCACCGCTCCCAACGTCCCTTGGCCGCGATATGCCGCGAGCAACAGAGAGCAGAGCTCTGCCGGGCTGAGGTGAGGGAAGGAGGAGCATTTCCCTTCCGTTTCTTCCCCCACTGCCGTGGGCCGCAAAGCGGAGGCTCCCCTCCGCTGCCTTCCTTGCACGACGTTGTCGACCCTCGACCGCGAAAAGATGCGTCGTGTCCCGTCGGCGCACGAGAAACATCCGAGGACCGATCGTTTCACGAAGGCTTCTCCTTGGATCTTTTTGAGAAGGCCTGGATGCCGACACCGGAAGGGGGGGGGTGGGTTGTCCCGCGGAGGCGCAGGCGATCTGGCGACCCTTCATTGATCATCAGCCGCTGACCAAGACCGGAGCCGAAACGGTTTCGAAGCTGCTGGCGCGGACCATTTCTCCGACAGATGCCTGGAAAGACTTTGGCACGTTACCACTCAGAAACACTCAGGACGATCATGACGGCTGTCATGTTCGATGGTAGACCTGAAGGAAGGGGATGGCTTGTGGTCCTTCGTGGGCGGGCTTGCCGTGTCGCAGATACTCGAGGCTTTCGGTGATTTCGGCTTACCCGCTGCGCCGCTGTGTTTCATGGGATCGGTGTCAGTACATAGCCACTATTTGCAAAGCTGGAGGACTGGCGTGGTGTTTGCATGTTTTCCAACATCTCTTCTGAAGGCTTTCAAGGCCCAGCTGTTTCGTCTGTTGTGAGCACGTCGCAGCTTGAACATCTAAGGAAAGCCTGGAGCCTGTGGCGCAGCATCGTATGTGTTTTCCTAGTTATGCTTGTCGCAGCTACAACATGTGCCAGTTGATATTGATTAGAGAGAGAGAAGCTCCAAGGAGCAGTGGCTGGCTCTGCAGAGCACAGAAGCTGCAAACAAGTATGCCGCGCATCATGTATCCGAAAGGCCCACCGAGGCCGGATGAAAACTCGAGGGCTGTGTGGAATGGGCTGCAAGGGGTTGTTCACTCGAGGACGTGCAGTCCTCGCGGGGGGATGATAACGTCCGGAAGGGTTGAAGCCAAGACGGCGCAGATGCGAGACTCTCACATTTCTGAGGCTCCGGACGTCGAGCCGGAGCCCGTCTCTCCTACACTGTCGCCGCTGGGTTTGCATTTGAGCCATTCGGCGGTTCTGGCGATCTGAAGCGATCTGACAGTGGCAGGAACGCTGACACCCGAACTGTCGATGTCCCGTCCCAAGAGGAGGGATCTGGCCGCGCGCTCTGTGCGCTGGCTCGCGGGCGTGTTGCGGCATCTGCCGAGGTGGCGAAGAGCAACGAGCTGGAGGTCGAGAAAGAGAATGAGCTGGGGCTGGAGCCTCTGGACTTCTCCAGCTCCCTGGTGGTGAAGAAGGAGGTGGCTAAGGACTTTCCGGTGATCGAGGGGGAAGCGAAGGCGCCGACGGAGAGCGGATCCGTCCGCCGTCCGTCATGCGCGTCTCTCTCTCTCTCTCTCTCTTTTTCTCTATCTCTCTCTCTCGGCCAGGCCGCCTGCTGCGTCTGCTCGCTCTGAGGGCGGAGGGGGCCCGGAGGGCGGAGGGCGAAGCCTTTTCCGAAGGAATCGAGGCTTCCGGCCCTGCGCAGTGAAGCTGGCAGCCGGGTGAAGACTCGTGCGAGCTCTTCGATAGGCAGATGTAGAAGGAGACCGAGACAAGAGAGACAAGAGAGACAAGCGGGAGAAGGAAGAGAAGGGGGAGAAAGAGGCCTCTACGGACTCTACAGCGCGGCGGGCGGGAGCACTGAGAGGCTAAGGGGAAACCTCACTCCGAACCGGAGACACAAGACAGAGAGACCCAGAGCTCGACCTTTTCAGACATACAGAAAACCTGAGCTGGCTACATAGTTAGTTGTCCGATTGCCGAATGCACGCAAGCATGCTCTTGCTCGTTTCCATGCTTCAGTATGGTCAGCAGGTTCGGAGCCCGGAGCAGGAACTTTCCTGAAACTGCGCGCAGGTGGTATTGCCTGTTGGACAGATCGAAGACTTCATTCCAACACAGCGTGCCGAAACAAAGCGCCAGCCCTGCCCCAATCCTGTCTTTGTCGCAGTATGTGGACGAAAGCATGCAGCATTCGTGCCCGCCCATGCGGACCACAGCACGTTCTCCAAGCATATGTTGGGTTGTCCTGATGTTGTCAAGGTTTCAGCACTTGGGTCGATTCATTCGCCTGGCTGTACAGAAGCCGCCGCCAGAATGCGAGAGAACCAGCAGGCATCCGAAGAAGTCTCTGGTGATCAATCGCTTAGATGCATGGGTTTCGGGCGATGCAGAACCCAGCTGTATTGCTTTTGAAAGCTTTTGCGGCTGCCCGCAACATGCAGCTACAAGACAGGACATGATCACCGAGTGGGTGGTAATAACCAGTTGCGCAAGAAACCCCTTTGCAGCACTGGCGCTAGCGTTGGCACTGTACAGACTGAAGCTCAGTCTCCCTGCTCGACTTGACACAGTGTAGAGGTGGGTTGTGGAAAATGGCTGCGAAGTCAGCCTGGAGGTGGCCGTGTGTGAGAGAGAGAGATTCCTGTCAAGTGTGCGTGTTGTCTAGTTTCGCGAGCTTGGGAATCGAAGACTCCTTGGATAAGTTGTGGAACACGTGGATGTGAGTGGCAGTCCATACCCAGACGCACAGCCCCACACCAGGGTGTCCATTAGACTGACAAGCTCCGAGGATTTAGTGTACAGCTTGGGCAGAACATCACATGCGATGGCACGATGGCCTCCTGGGACCCCCGGCGCCCTTCCTGAGAGCTGCGGTCTCGGCGGAAAAGCGGTGAAGCGCCTACAGAATCTCCCAGCTTTCAGGATGCTTTGCGTGGTCTGCGGCCGCGCCGCAAAAGGCCGCTGTTCGACGTGCCGGCAGCCTGTCCAACAGACTGCGGTTTGCCTGTTTTTTTCTATGTGGCTAGTGGTTTGGCTGTTTGTCACGACAAGAGACTTTTCTCTGAGGTCTGTGCACTACTGTAGCGAGCCGCTTTTCCGCACAAAAGCGGCCGATGCCACGCCATTTGGGCCATGCCATGACTGCTGCGCGAGCTTTTCGCTCCGAGGAGCTGTCAGCTGCTCGACTGGTTCGAGGATCACGCCGCGCGCTGCACCGCAGTCAGGGAGCCGCCGAGCGCCGCAGTCAGGGAGGCCCGGCCGGAGGCCCTCCAGGACCGTGACGCAGAGGCTACCGCCGAGGCGGGCTGGGAGCCCGAGACCGAGACGCCTCCGAGAACGCCGACGCTCAGGCGCGCCCGAGCGAAGCCGCGCGAGCGGCGCGTGGGGGATCGACGAACGGCGCTGTGGCATTGCCTGTGGTGCCTCAGGCCACCATCGCCGCCCACAGCCGACGATCTCACGCTCGAGGCCGTCATAGTCGAATGGTCGAATGGGGTCTCTGTGCGGACGGTCTGCTTGGGAGGATGAGGCGGTGGAGCTTTGGAGACAAGCGCTTTCGAAGCTCTCGTGGCGTGGTGGCACCCTCAGAGTGCATAAGTCAGACAGTCCGACAGTAGCTCAGGGAAGAGCTCTACGACGAGGATGATCTGGAGGAGCGCTTGAAACGGCATCCTGGGTGGGCCTCGTTTCCGGAGTCCGGAGTGCTTTGGAGGATTTGGCGGACTTGGAGGTCCTGGTGGCCACTGCCGAAGAGATGCATCTCGGCATCTTCTTCGGATTTTGAGAAGCACCTGCAACGCTCCCTCGTCCTGTGCACCGAGGCTGAGCAGCGGGAGACCGCGGTGTGAGCTGGTTTCCTTCGGTCCACGTCCGGTCCTTCTGACGGCACCACACTGTTTGGCACTGCTCCTTTGAGACCAACTTGGTCGTTGTGTTTGTGCATTTGTGGCTGCGACAGCAGTGACAGCCTTGCCCCGAGGCTCCGCGACGGGCAGTCGCCGCACCTGGTGGAGAAGCACACGATCGCCCCTTTCAGCGGCAGCCAGCTTCTCTCTCTCGTCTCAGCTTCCCTCTGCTTCTCTCCTCAGCTGCTCTCTGCTCTGAGGAGATCGCCTCGGGCTGTGCTCGTTCCTTGGAAGGGAGCGTCTTGAGTTGGTCGGCCTTGGAGCGGAGGAGGACGGAGCTCTTGTGGAGGCTCTCGAAGCGCGTGAACGAGGAGCGAGGCCGCTTCGACATCCGGGACGGCTTTCTGCTGGATCCAAGGAATCGGGATCCGAACTTCTTGGCCACCTCGGAGCTGCCAAAAAACCCGTGGTTTCAAGAGATCCGAAAGCTTTCGGAAACCTGGAGTCTGAAATTTGGGATCGATTTGGAAATGCTTCACGTGGATGTCCATGGATGTCAGGATCCACCGAACACCCCGTCGCATCTCACAGTTGGGCTGGGTGCAATGTGTTTCCATGCCATCGACCTGGGCGACGCAGATGCCTACGAAGATGCGATCTGCTTTGGCAACGCCGTCTGCCGTGAGTTGAGCCAGGTCCTGGCAAAGGCCGAGGGCTTGCGGCCACGTGCGGCGCTGGTGCGTCTCGCAGCCCCAGGCAGCATGTGATGTCAATTGATAGGCTGACCGAAGACCCAAGAATCCCCATGTCGTTGCTCTGTCGAAGGACCTGAGGAGGAAAACTGCGCTCCGCGCTTCTCCGGGGCCTGGCGGGGCGGCCGGCACACGCAGTCGCAGCAGGCGATCCGCGCAGGCTTCACCCACGCCGTGCAGCTGGAGCTCTCCAAGGCACTGCGAGCGATCCTGGCAACAGACGAGATCCTTCTTTCCGGCTTCGCCAGCGCCTTGCGAGCGGCATGGGTTCAAGCGAAAGCCGCAAAGATACAAAGACAGAGGCGGTCGAAGCGCTCACGGCAAGCTCTTAACACATAGCCAAGAGGAGCTGTTTAGCTTCCGAGTGCGTTCCGCATGAAAAAGAGTGCTTGGAGACTGGAAGCAGCACTGCAATGCATGGCTGCATGGCTGCAGCGGCAGCCCAGTCTTTCCCGCTTTGCTTTTGCGTTGCCCCATCGCCTGAGTTGCCCGCTGCAGCCTTTGGGCTCGGGGTCCTTGGCAGGATGGGGTCACGGTGTCCAGGGTCCAACAATGGGTAATGCCGGCAGCTCAGATGTCCGAGGGCTTACATCTAAAAGTTTAACAGAAGCAAGCAGAGTGTTGTCGTAGCTCCTTGCAGTGCCACCGCGACGTTGCTTTCACAGTTTTCAGCTAAAGGCAGCGTACGCTGCGTCTCCACCCCCCATTGATCACTGTTGAACTTACGACGACCACTTGCAGCTTCTACGACCGCTACCCTCTGCATCCTCTGCATAGAGCAGCAATCCTGCTTTTGTCTGCTCAGGCTGCGGCTGCGTGTTGCTGTGCGGCAAAAGACGAAGGCGTCGAGGTCACGGCCTACGCCATCGGGGCTACTGACGGCCCGCCGGGGCCCCTGAAGACGGCATGTCGTAAAGGGCGAAGGTGTCTGCGTGTCAGCTCAGGATCAACGATGCTGCCCGGCCGCAAGACTCCGAAGTCTAAGCCAGTGTGCTCTCTTTGTGCTTTGGTGTGAGGAGCGCTTCCAGGGATCCACGCAGAAGCAGTATGCCATCGCGATACGAAAGAAGGAGCAGCTAGACCAGCTGGGCATGGACGTCAAGCATCGGCTGCTGCTTGCCACAAAGCTGTGAGGTCGTCCGAGCCGCCACTTAAGATTGCCCCGCATGGAAAGTTTAAACGCGATTGCAAGGGTTCGAGAGAGGGCCGGATGGGGGGGGTCGGGCGCGGGGGGAACATTGCAGCCGTTCGCAAACAGTGGGCACACGTAAATTTGATAGAGTCCGGTGGCTTTGTGGGCCGATTTTGTCACTGCATCGAAACCTGAGGGGCCGCTTGGTGGTGGTGGCGATCCGCAGAGGCGGGGCCGTGGATCGCGCGAACCTGGTGGCCGCGCCCCTTGGACTGAGGCTAAAAGAACAAATCAGACAGGACGTGCTTTTGACGAGTTTGGGGCTCGTCATTTCTCGAGGCAACATGGCCTGCAGCCGATTCAGGCTGGAAGGATCCGGATGTCTCTAGGTTTTGGCGAGGCAGAGCAATTGTTGGCCTGTGCAGGTCAATGATGTCATCGTGGACATCAATGGTGCCACCTTGGAGCCTTTGTCTTCCACACTTGTCTGGCACGGTCTGTGGATCCGAGCCCGACCGAGGACACGGGCATGGTCGCAGAGTGCAAGTCCGCGCTTGTTCTGAACGTCAAGTTCCTGCGGAGGGAGCATTTCAGGCCAGCTCACGCCGACCCGCAAAGAGAGACTGGCTAGTTCGGCTCCAGATTTGGGGCGGTGTTTCTACATGTTTCAATGCTGTCAGATTGCCCGACCGTGCCAGGTGACCTGCTGTGGCAAATTCGCTCTCAAAGCGGGTTGAGTCCAAGGATGTAGGCCGCAATAGGGGCTTCTTAACCTTGAGTGAACCTCGGACTCGGGCGGCTGCAGAGCTCTACATCCCTGGGAGCCCCATCGTCCAAAGAGCATTGGTGGCTGAGCAGTTTCACTCTGAGACGAGATCTGTTTTACACGTCGGAAATCAAGTCACAAGGCTCCTGATACTCCTGAACATTCCTGAACCCCTGACCTCCCCTAATTCGGCTTCCAGCTCCCCCCCACATAAACAAAGCCACATGTAGATGCAGGATTGCCAGGCAGCAAAGGCTGTGTGCACGTCGCCTGTCCTATGGTGTCGAAATCACTGCAGCGGAGGCGGGTGGAGATGCGCGGAGTCTGCTGGAAGGTGTCCTACATCCTGCATTCCGAGCTCGGCCCAGTAACAGAGCGCATACTGTAGGGCACGGAAGAGCACATGAAGGGCTTGAGTATGGTAGCACTTTAAAGAGCAGGGCCCTTCCTCGGAGAGCCTCCCGCCCGGCACGGCATGGACTTCGGCTTTTTGAAAAGCTTCCCAGCCGCCGAGGCCAGGGGGGATGGGGGCATGCGGTGTTGGCAGGCTCTGCAGGCTTCAGAAAGCCACCCACATCAGCCGTCAGCTTCGTCAGCTTCCGGTCCCCGGCGGCCTGGCCAAGACAGAGTGGCAGTCGGGCGGCGGGCCGTGGAAGGAAAGCTTTCCAGGGGCGTCCAACGGCATCGACGAAGAAAGCACGAAAAGAAAGCAAAACAGTTCAAGACTACCCGACAACGTCGGCCGTGAACGCACTCGGGCGGGTCGTCTGCGAGTCGGGATAACGTTTGCTTGGCGGTTAACTAGCTTGTAGCTGAGCTGTGCAAGGTTCAGGCTTCCTTTGACCTTTGCTTCCCCACAGCCTGGCCCCTGACATCTCCACGGAGCCGAAAGAGACTCGTAAAACTTAAAGGCGACCTGTGCTTTGAGAATTCAGACTCCCATGCTGCGCAGGAACCAAGCGGGGAGGATCCTCTTGTGATTGCCTTGGCGCGCAAAGCAGAGGCAGAGAAGCAACGACAGGAGGGACCGGACGCTGTTTATGTGATGCAGTCTCTGAGTCTTCACCTATTTGGAGATGGGTCTGGTGAATCTTCACATCCAATGCCCATCTCCCACATAGCTCCCATTAGGCACAGTCCATGCTCCCAGCATCACTTTTACTTCTACAGCTGCTTTTCTCCACTTGCTACTGCTGCAACGACGAAACAAAGTGGTGCGGCCACCTAGCTCATCAGCTGATCGTCTTGGTGGTGCCGGTAAACGCAGCAATGCCACCTCAGAGAAGAAAACGGTCCCGAGCAGCAGTAGCTCTGACACGACACGCAGCGCTTGGCAATCTGCAGTTCAGGAAGCCTCGCAAGCGCGCTGGGCCTCGTGCCAGGACCACAAGGTGTGGCTGGCTGAGACCCTTGGCCTTCGTTATGGTGATGTGATGTGATGCTGGTGGTGGGCTTGTTGGTGAAATGGCGCATTGGAAGCTGAGGAAGAATTGGAGAAAGCAAGTCCGAAAGAAGAAGGACACTTGCCCTCGGCCTCCTCGCCGACAGTTTTGTTGCCGTAACCAGGGATGTGATGGTTTTGCATACGAAGGCATTCACCGATGAGAAATACATGTACACATACGTGTGAATAAAAGATGAAGACATAGTTGAGAAATTAATAAACAGACTAATAGACACACATGCATACCCAACTGTAGGTATTGTACGTAGTCGACACAATATAGAAGTCAGGTTTGTAAACGTAAGCAAATTTTCGTCGCGCCCACACACTGAATGCTAAGGAAGGTTTCGGTATGCGACGGACCACCTGATGTCCAGGTCTCAAGCGACCACACATCAGAGACTTTGGACAGGTAGCTTCATGGACAACAGCTGCAAAGAGGAAGTGCAGAAAGTCTGTAGCTGACACCTCAACCTGCCTGGCTAAACCACAACGCCAGCCTGAACCCCAACGTGCCGAAGGACAAGACCAGGACCAACGATTGCAAACGCTCGCACTGAAGAATGGCTTCACTCGCACTGACAAGGTTCTGTGCGGGGTCCTCGGCTTAGCCCCAGGCCATCCAGATAAGGAATATGCACCAATACGATGACGAACCATATACAGCGAAGACCAGGATGTCACAAGCAATTGTGCAGGTACGTGAAGAAGGCGTCCCTTCTTCATATCACAGCAAATCTGGACGGTCTTTGTCAGGCAGCGCAATCCAGAAATGCTCGCTGCCCCCCTGCTGTGTACTCTGTACTCAAGTTCGGTTATATATAAAGCGTAAGTAGGAAACGGCTGCAGAGCGTGAGGAGAAGGCCCTTGGATACAGGGTTGTCACACACACACCCCGCCGTAGCGGGGTGAGTTAATCAGACGAAGACGGTGAGCATGTAGAGCAGGTAGAGCCGTCGGGTGAACTTGTAGGATCTGGCAGCGGTGCAAGTAAAGTCGGTGGAGAACTTCTCGGAGAGGAGTTGGCAATTCATGCCTTTCATATTGACGTCGATCAACATGACGAGCGTAGACTTTAGGTGCCAGTAGACCAAGGCAAAGTTGCCAACGATGACGAAGTATCATCTGGCTCATTATGTAATGTAGTCGACGATCAGCGAGAAGTAACGCGTGAAGTACGCGTGGAGATGGTGCGGTTGTGAACATGCTGTACTGGTAACCGCAGATGTTCGGGTCATAGTAATCCAGTCGTTGGAAGGAAGGATTGAGTTGACAAAGTCCATGAAGGGTGTCGAGGTAGAAGCGGTTCTGAGAGGTCGTGAATCGGTGCTGTGATATGACAAAGCGTGGATCAAGGAGGGTACTGGGGATCTGGAGATCGGGTGAGGTCATTGGACGAACTTGCCATACTCGGAGCTCCACCAAGAAGTCAAGCCACCATTCCAAAGGAATATCGAGTAGTTGCGGAGCCATGAGTGCAGAGGCGAAGAAAGGAAGGAAAGGAGAGGCGGAGGACTAACCAAATAGTGCTGAAAAGGCTGCGGTAGATCAAATAGGCCAGGGCCAAGATGCACACGCGAGGTTCTTTGTCTCAAAAATGTTCTGTCAGTGTCCTCCGAAGCTTCACCGTCTCAGAGGTGGGAGCAGACCATGTCGTTGTTGTTCCTGCTGCCAATAAGGATTGTCCGTTGTGATGGGTGGAGGAGGCGAGTGGCGGCGTGAAGTCGTAGATGTCCATTTGGAAAAGGAAAGGCAATGCGCTGAACACCAGCATGTGGTAATCCAGGGTCCGGACGAAGTAGGTCGCCACTGTGCTAGGGTAGGATCTCGAATGCGGACACGTAGGCAAAGTCGTGATGCAGAACGTAGCTGGACGTGGGCTCGCCAACACAGTCGATTGCAGTGTACGATGACCGAGGGCTGATAATGATAGATCGTGAACACCGTGTTGTCGTGGTGGAAGCCAAAGAAATTGTGGGCGCTCATCTTGTGATCTT